TAGTGTATTAACTGCTAGCCAAACATTCATACCAGAGCAGTTAATTTGAGATGTGTTTTCTGGTTATAACCTCCCAGTACCTGGTTCTGAGGTGCATTTGTTCTCAAGTGGGTTATCTGTGTCTTTGAGGAAGTTCTGCCACTTTAGGGCTTTGGAAGGCCGGAGGTTCTGGAAGGGACATAAATTCCCTCTCCGTCCTTCACAGGCCTGCAGTTCCTCAGAGGGCGCAGTCTTTTGGACAGGCCACTGTCCTTTGGACCAACACTTCAATTTTCAATATAGTTTTGATTTTGTTTTGCTTTCCTATTTACCTAAAAGAGGCTTTTTTTTTTTCTATTGGAAAGAAAGTTTGAGAAACACTGCAACACTACCTTACTGGGAATTGATGTAGTTCACTCAGGAATTAATTCAGCAAACAAGGATTAAAGGTAACTGGGGCTCCGGCTCTTGAAGCTTTCATTTCTGAAGCAGTCTTGTAAACAGGTAGATCATAACCCTGTGTCTGAGGGTTGTGGAGTAATGCTAGGCTTCAGAGCTACAAAGAGCTATAAACGAATCACGTTTCCCTCCTTTCTTGGTGGAACTTCATTTTTATCTGTGAACTAATGAAAACAAAGCCAACTTAATAGAAAAGCAAATGCACCAGGCAATCAAGGAAACCATTTTATTCAGGCTATTGTCATAGGGAGAACACTCAAAGAGAAGAATAGAAACTTAGGGTTTTTTAGAAGCAGGTAAAGAATGGAGTCATCCATGAGTCTTTATGGGAGTCACCTTGTGGAAGGGTTTTATCTTGGGGTACTTGCCAGGACAGTGTGGTCCTTTGCAATTAAGATTTCCAGAGCCATTGCCATGGTTCACTTGGTTAATCCTCTGCCTGTGGTACCAGCATCCCATATGGGCACTTGGCTCTAGTCCCGGTTGCTCTGCTTCCAGTCCAGCTCTCTGCTGTGGCCCGGGAAGGCAGTGGAGGATGGCCCAAGTGCTTGGGTCCCTGCACCCACATGGGAGACCAGGAAGAAGCACCTGGCTCCTGGCTTCGGATCGGCACAGTGCCGGCCGTAGTGGCCATTTGAGGGGTGAACCAACGGAGGGAAGACCTTTCTTTCTGTCTCTCTCTCTCACTCTCTGTAACTATACCTCTCAAATGAAAGAAAGAAAGAAAGAAAGAAAGAAAGAAAGAAAGAAAGAAAGAAAGAAAGATTTCCTAACTGTAGATGCTTTTCTGGAGCCCAGGGTTCAGATAAAGTTTAATGTTGTCAAGCACTTAGGGTAAGTCTTGGCTGATAGTAGATGTTCAGTAAGAGTTTCTTTGTCTCTTTTCCTCCAATACAGGGATGTAAAAAGTGTTGTGTGGATTCAGAGAAGGGCCAGATTTACCCTGCTTGGGGAAACTAGATTTGACAGAAGATCCAGAATTTTAAAGATGAGCAGTGGGAAGAAAGGAGTGTTGTAGGTAGAGCTAACATTATGGACATGGAAGCTTCTAAGAACAATAGGCAGACTATATCTTAGGAGAACGTGGCTGGAGAAAGAAGTACATATAGAGGATAAATTGGGATTTGTTGCAGTAAAGATTAAAAAAGAAACAAAAACCACTCACAGCAATACTGTTAAGATTGTTATCAGCAGGTCTGTCTCAAGTGTTAAATCAGAAAATAATTTTTGCGGGAAGGATTAGGGCAATCCTAAATCCATTTTCGTCAGCCTGTAAAACCAGAAGAAGTTCCATAATATTGCTTTCCCCCAGAACTCCAAACTCTCAGGGAATTATTCAGAAAGAAACAAGTACACCTTTGTGGATGTTGAAACTAACAGTGAAATTCTGGTAGAGTAAAATCGTACAATTTTCAGTGATGGAAGAAAACCTAGCGACCAATCTAAATCCTTCAGATGAAGAAACTGATACTCAGAGAGGGGCAGACTCTTGTCCAAGAACACATAGTTAATGGCAAAATTAAGAATGCAGACATGTATATTCTCAAGAACTCTTATCCCATTCATACCTCATATCGCCGCTTAACAGGCTGGTACCGATTGGTATTTGCCAAGACGGCAGATTTTTCAGGCCAACTTTAGCTATTCTAGATTTTTTACAAATTTTTATTTTTTTCAAAGAGAAACAGAGAGATCGTCCATCTGCTGGTTTACTTGCTAAATGCACCGAACAGCCGGGGCTCTACCCGATGGAAGCCAGGAGCCAGGAACTCCATTCGTGTCTCCCACGAGGGTGGCTGGGACTCAGATACTTAAACCATAATATGCCGCCTCTCAGGACGCAGCATTATAGCTGGAAGTTGGAACTCGCGGGGCTAGAACCCAGGCACTGCGATATACGATGTAGCCCTTCCAAGCGGAGTCTTAACCGCCGGCCAACCGCCAACCCCTAGATATGTTCGCTCCGTAGTCGTGCTAGTGTACGTGGTGTTTTACCGGGATAGCTGGACTCGTTTTACCGGACTCGTGATTACAAAAATAAACTTAAAGCATATTTCCATGAAGTACGGCCGGACGACGAGTCCTCTTTCGCCCGCTAAGGGGCGCTTCATAATGTTTCCTTCGGTCTAGACACACCCCTTCTGTTCGGGAACAGAAATCCGTTGGCCAACGGGAAATTTGCGGAACCTTGAAACCGGGCCCTAGAAACTCCGGGGACAGAAATCCGTTGGCAACCAGGAGACTTGCGGAACCTTGAGACTGAACCCTTGCGGCTGGTAGGGCTGCTTTGTGAAGAGAACATTTCCGGCCTGCCGGCGAGGACGTAAATCCTTACGTAATAAGGTCAGCTTCCAATTCTCACGTTCCGATTAGCCACCTTAACGTAGAGAGGCGGGCTTTCGTTGGGGTCACTCTCTCCCATTGGCTGTTGGCGCGGCGGCGGTTTGGAGTGAAGGTAGCACGTTGAGGGGAAGACTGTGGAGTGCCGCGACACAGGGCTGGCGTGGGGCCCAGTGTTTTTGGGAATCTGGGGCCGGGCCAGGTCTGGGTCCCCGTGGCATGGATCGCGTGTGCAGTGCGTGGTACGGAAAGTGCGTCAAAAAGGAAGGGTTGTCGCCACTGTGGGCACGCAGCGTCGTGGTTGCCTGGCTCAACAAGGCCGAGTGGGACCAAGTGACAGTTTATCTGTTTTGTGATGACCCTAAGTTGCAGCGGTACGCCCTGAACCGCATCACCGTGTGGAGGAGCAGGTAAGGGAGGGGGGCTCAGTCCTGTTACTCCACGCTCTACGACTCCTTTGTGGAGTTCCTCTGAGGCCCTATTTTCCAGTCTCCCCCGAAATTGCCTGTGGCCCCGCCCCCGCCCCCAAGTGCCCCAGGGAAAGTCGCCGAGCCCTGGGCATTAATGCCATTTGTGATGGAAAGTAAAGGGCTGTGCCTCCCTGGTCCTCTCAATTGTGAGGTTGAACCTTTCCCGCCAAAAAGTGACCTTCCCCTTTTACAGGGTGCCGGGGGGCGGGCAGTGGGGCCTGATCCCGGGTTTACGGAGTAGCTTAGCGCCCTGTTGGTATTACGGAAGATGTGGAGGGAGTCTTGCCTACAAAACCACGTTTAAGTGGGGTGCCTCAGGTTGCTAAGATTTAGTTGGGGGGCAGGCTAGTAAGGGATAAAGGGCTTCTTTAGCTGAAAGGGGTGAGGATTTCCCGGGTGAATGAAAGGGGTGTGTCCACGCAACTCTTGATGGACAGTTCGGTGGTCTTCTTTTACCCTGGCCACCCCCCCATGCCCTGTGTAGAGTCGAGTCCCACAGACGTTCCCCTGTTTCTACTCACCTTCTGGTGATTTCATTCCTGTGCTCTTGAGCCAATCTATCATGGGAATAGCCTACAGCAATCAAGATTCTGAGGTGGAGGGTGGACCAGTGTAAGGGGCCTTTATGATAGTGCTGGCCTGTGGCCCTTTAGGTTAGGCAATGAACTCCCCCTGGCAGTGGCTTCTACAGCTGACCTGATACGCTGTAAGCTCTTGGATGCAACTGGTGGCTTGGGCAATGATGAACTTAGACTGCTCTATGGCATGGCATTGGTCAGGTAAGACCTGCATGAGGTTGAGGGGTGGGGTTGGCTTTGTGGCCTGCTTGGGGGTGGGGGGGTAAGCATGTGATAAGCAAAGTTTGGTTCCTGGTGCTACCTGAAGCCACAAGCTCTTTGTGTCCTCAGTGTGGGTCATCCTGCAATTGCTTGACTTGACAGCTTTTGGTAGCCCCTGTCAACACTTTTCTTCTTTTTATTTCCTTTTCCTGAAAGTTTGCTCTCTTCCATTTTTCTTGGAATGTGTATGGGGATGGTGGTGGTGTTCAAACCCACGTGATTTCTCTCAGCCTCTTCCAGCTTTGACAGTCTGATATTTTTTTTCTTCCCCTTTAACTCCTCACCTGGAGGAATTTTCCTGAATGGTTCAGTTGGCCTTGGCTGTGAATGTATTGTGGATTTTTCAACCCTCCCCCTGTCTATACCTAGCATCACCCATTTTCCCTTCATTTCTCCCTGAACACTGAGGGCTGCTGAGTTGTGGCAGTGGAGACATGGGCTGGGAGTTCCTGACTCACAGAACTACTCATGATGGTTCTAGCTGTCTCATGCAAATTGGGAAAAAAGTTGCCTCTGAGCTTTGTCATCTGCCAAAGCCTTTTCTCATCTCACACTGTTCCCCTTCTCTGCCTTGGGGGTCCTCCCTTGTTCTCTTCTCCATCATTTGACTGCTCCCCATGTCACTTGATGCAGTGTTTTGTTCTAGCATAATATATTGTGTTACAATTTGTTATCCTAGACTGAACTCTTCAAGGCCTGAGTAATGTCTTTTTACCTGTGTGGCTTCAGTACCTACAGGGCAGACTCTCAGTGAAGGTTGGAAAGGATGGAGCCGTTCCTGTTCTGATACTAATCATTAGGACAGGCCAGTTAGTGGCAAGGTGGTGGAAATGTAAAGGGTCAGTAACTCAGCCAGGTGTTTTGAATAAAATGATTCCTCGGGCTGTGCCACTTATTTCTCCCCCAACCCCAGGTTTGTGAATCTTATCTCAGAGAGGAAGACAAAGTTTGCCAAGGTTCCCCTCAAGTACCTGGCTCAAGAGGTGCGTATGATAAAATGGTCTTGCTCAGTTCTCTCTCTCTCCAGGCGGGCTCACCAAATGGGACATGGGGTAATCATGTGGGCAGACATTCAGACTAGCTCATCTCAGTACTACCAGCCAAGCCCAGCAAGAACCCCAGAACCTCACCTTCCAACTTGAAAGAGGCAGAATTGCTCCCTTGCTCATGACTGGTATCTCAGTGGGCTTTGCCTGCTTAGCTTGCTGGGAATGGCCACTGTGGGGGAGGGGACAGAAAAGAGGTAGCAATCACAGCCCCTCCCCCTGGAGAGCTGACAATCTGAGGGAAGAGACAGCTCAGCCTAGCAGCATGAAAATACCAGACATTCCTGCCCTGAGTGACAACATGAAATGTGTAGAGGCCCAGAGGACAGTCATGTTCTCAGTCATCAGAGAAGCTTCCTGGAGGAGCTATGAGAGGAAGAAAGGGAGGTGTAGGGTACCCAGGGAGAGGGGATGGGGAAAAGGGAGGCTGGAGAAGGTGATTGTTAATGGTCATTCATAAGAATTTTTCTGTTGGAGTGTAGTTGATGGTTGGGGGAAGTGAGTACCTTTTCTGATTTTCAAGACTACCCCTCTGGTGTAGTACAAAAGAATCAGGAGACCTGGTTTTTAATCTTGGCTCTGCCAGTAAGACTGAAATCTTCTCTGAGGACCTCAGTTTCTCTGTAAGATGGAGGAGGATGGTCTGGCTAATTCATTTCTGGGTCCATTCTAGGTTTAATATTTTTCAAATTTCTATACTTACATCCTCCCCCACAATTAGGTGAACATTCCAGACTGGATTGTTGAACTTCGCCATGAGTTGACCCACAAGAAAATGCCCCATATAAATGACTGCCGTAGAGGTGAGTACCTAGGGGATATACCTGTTACAGTTAAGCCCTGGGGCCTGTGCTGGGTGGCACTTGAGGTAGAGGGAAAGGGAGGTAGACCTGGGGTCATGGTGGGGACCAGGGTAAGACAAGTGAGGTGCTTGCCTTGAGCATAAAATTTAAGGGGGCATCAAAAGCTCAGCTGTCAAGATAACATTTTAATGTGAAAAAAATCTGTAATTAACAAAATCAAAATTTTAAATAAAAACAGGGTTAGTACTACTGACTTCTTTTGTTTCAAGCTCCAGTGTGACTTAGCAGGGCACTGTTGGGTCCTCAAATATCCAGAAGAAGCCTCTCTTACTCTGTGTTATCTCGATGTGCTTGGCTTTATCCTACTCACCAGTACCTTTCCTAGAAAAAAACCTCTCCTAGCATTTAAGATGAGATGCCAAAACCAGCAAGGGGCCAGTAAGTAGAACAGACTAGTTTTCACTCAAAGTTTGGATACTTTGATTACAAAGTTTAGCCTATCCTTAAAACTTGCTCCTGAGGTGGTAGCCTCGTTAGCCTCACTCACCTCACCCTAGTGGTGGGAGAGTTGAGTGGCATGAGCCATCAATGACAGTGTCATGAACCCAGGAGTTCTCTGTTCGTATCAATTAAGAACCCCTTCGATAGCCTAGCCCTTTGTGATGGTAAAACAGATGTAGAAAAGGGAAAAGACTTGGCAGAGACCAAGAGTGAAAACTAGTCTGTTCTACTTACTGGCCCCTTGCTGGTTTTGGCATCTCATCTTAAATGCTAGGAGAGGTTTTTTTTCTAGGAAAGGTGCTGGTGAGTAGGATAAAGCCAAGCACAGAGAGATAACACAGAGTAAGAGAGGCTTCTTCTGGATATTTGAGATTTGAGCCTTGGAGCCAATCCTCTTTCCTGGGGTTTTTCCATAATGCTCACAATATAAGGCTGGGAGCTTATAATAAGGGCTGGGACCTGCTAACTGCTTTTATCTGTGGCTGGGTCTATGGCAGTGCCTTTGGTTATTCCCTTCCTCTAGGCTGCTACTTTGTCTTGGATTGGCTCCAGAAGACCTACTGGTGCCGCCAAATGGAAAACAGCCTGAGAGACAGCTGGGAGTTAGAGGACAAGGAAGAGACAGATGAAGATCAAGATAAGAATGTAGTTGTTGATAATATCACAGAACAGCAACCAGAGCCTCAGACCGATGGAAAAGGTGCAGAATTGGATGTCGGGGCTGACATAGAAGACAAAGTCAGCCAAGAAGTGGAGTCTCATTTGAAAAAGGTTCTGAAACAAAAAGAGCTGTATGGTAGGTGTCCATCGTAGGTATCCCTGTGGGTAGAGGTGGGGCTCAGGCTTAGGGGGTAGCATTGGTTATTTTTTTGGCTCAGTATTTTTTTCTGGGGTGTGGTGAGTCCTAGCTTAAAAAATTACTATCACAAACCATCTACCTGGCTAGTTTCCAAAGAAATGAGATGAGAGGGCCTCAGGATCCCAGCAGGAATAGGGAGCTAGGCTGGCTGCCCTATCTGTCTCCCCATTCTGTTTTTAGAAAGAGCCCGAGATCTGCTGGTATCATATGAAGAGGAGCAGTTTAAGGTAAGAAAGTGCCCTCGACTTGGAGTGCTCTCATCTGCTCCAGCCATTTTTTCCCTCTTGCCAGCTATCTGAGAAAGAAGTCTTAAGAAGGAATTTGAAAGAAAAGTGTCAAAGCATGAGGGAACTTGTTGGAAAGAGAGAGGGGGAACTAAGAAGGTGACAAGAAGAGTTGAGTCAATCTGGCTGATCCTAACACTGGATGGAAGGGAGCAGATGATGAAGTTTGTGTATAATTTGCCCTGCTGGGTGGTAGGGAACAACTGGGACCGGGTAGTTGTACAGCCCTGCAATTCCTCAGCTGACCAACAGATGGGGCCCAAGGGCTTTCTAGATGAGATCCCTCAAAGGGGTGCTGTTTTAATAGGAAGGGAGGTAGCTCAGAAACCATTTAGCACAGTCCTCCCTTTTTTCAGGTGAAGAAACAGAAGCCACGAATGAGTAAAGGAATACACCCTATATATATATAATTAACAGTAGAACTGCAATTATACCTGCGTCTCCTGATTCTCTTTCATCCATAATCCATTTGCCTCCCCTCACCCTTTGGCTCAAGGGTCTCTGCCTATCTGCAACCAAATGCCCCCACTGGACATTTCAGTATGAGTATCTGGTAATTGGGAGCCACAGGGAATTAGGTGGGGGATGGGAGCGAGTGAAGGAGGAGGAGAAAATCTGGTATTTGAGGCAGTTTAATCTAAGTTACAGGGCCAGTAGGGGAGTTGTGGGCCCATCCTAGCATGCCCTGCTCTGTCCCCCTAAAGGTCAGTGCTGAGGTCCAATGGGAAGGGATGCTGGAGGGGTGGGGGTGGGTTGCTTGGCCGAACCAACTTTCTGATGGAACCCTCTTTGCTGGCAGGTGTTGGAGAAATTTAGGCATTTACCTCAGGCCATTAAGGCATGGAATAACCTGTCCCCACGTGTGGAAAGCATCATGGCAGAGCTCAAGGGCATTACATGGGAGAACAGGTATGTAACTAGGTAACCAGGCTAGCGGCCTCACTGAAATCTGTCTCATATCCTAATCTGTCAAGCTCTGCTGTAGGAAATCCCGAGGATAAACCTTATCCCCCACCCTATGACCCTGCATGATCCTCTGCTCCCCAGCCTAGCCAGCTACCTAGTGGGAGTTTGTCAGAATGGTCAGAGTCAGGAACGTCCACTGTCATCCAACCCCAGCTACCTTTTTTCCCCTCTGACAGTAAGCTGACAACCCCAGCTACCCTTTTTCCTCCTCTTCATAGGATACACAGACTTCATCAGTAAGATGTAAAGCTCTGGAAAACTAGGAAAAGCCCTTGATCCTTACCACTTTGACTAGGTCTTGTCCAAGTTTGAGGTAAAAGTTAAATGGTGAGCACTGCTAGTGCATTCTTGCAAACTGCTGTTACAGGATATGTAACAGGGTGTGGGGGGTGTGGAGAGGAGTCAGAGGAGGCCCTTCTCAGTGCTGTGAGCCACTTTTTTTTTTTTTTTTTTGCAAAAATAGTGCTCAGTTCAATTCAAAGCAGAGAAAGAGTATCTCCATTTTTCTGTCCTCCCTAACTCATATGGACTTTCTAACTGAATACAGCTACCAAGGATTTGGGAGAGCTTTCCATTAAAAACCTCTGCAGGGCAAAAATAAGAAAACAATGTTTAAAAAAAAAAAAAAACCCTCCCAGCTATGGAGAGCCTGAAAGGCATCTGGGATGCAGCAGAGTGTGTAGGTATGTGGTATAGGTGGCACAGTGGGCCTGGGTAGAAGCCTACAGTGTAGGCTGGCATTGCCCCAGAGTCTTCTTTTCATCCTTAGGATAGGACTAGATTCAAAGGTATTTGAACAATGTCTGCCTAGCCCAGACCTCTTGGCTCCACCCTTCAGTAGAAAGTGGGCAGCGACTCCGTTGGCAGCTTGGGAACACTATCCTGTGACTCTGTCCTATAGTGTTTGCCCAGCATTGCTGAGCAGGCTGGCTGCAAGGACTGTTCTTTCTGAGTACTTATTCAAGGAGATAGATGGAAGGACAGCTATTTCCTCCTCAAGCCTGCTCTGCTGGATGTCAGCCCTCCAGGCACTGGGATACCTTGGGAGCTCTTTTTCCCCTAGAGCAGGTCAGCTAGAGGTGCTTCCTGGGGAACCAGTAGCTCTGGAGGAGTCAGCTTGCTGTTGCTGGTTTAGGTTTAAGGTAGAGAGGGATGAGAGGTTGCCACTATAGCTCATTCCTTCAACTCCTCTAACTGTTCGAAGTTCTAGGAGTTCCTGGTAATAAGGCGTGTGGGTCATATTTGATCAGAGCAAATGAGTCCCTGAGGTTTCTACCTCTAGGATCTAAAAGAGTGCATCCAGGGAGAAGGGGAGGGGTGGAATGGTTAAGAGCAAAACAAAGACTGCATAGGAACTGAGGTCAAGTCTAGAAGACTTGAGACCTTATGATCTCAGGCCTGAGACTTTTCTCTATCGGTGTTTTGAGGCTTGTTCAGCTATTACTATCTTCATTATGGGCTTTAGATCAGCATGTTCTTCATAAATACTTGTTCACAGGCCTCTGCCTCCACCCCTGCTCCAGGAGGCTGAAGCCTAAGATCCAACTGTTGCCTGCCTCCCTCCCCATTCTTACCTCCTTGTCCCTTCCTCCCCACTGCCCCTCCCCCCATGCTGTTTAGGATATTTGAGCCAGAGGCATTAGCTGCCTTGGAGGTGGTGGGGGTAGTTAGAAGAAGGTCTTCTGCTAGCTTTGGTTTGATAAATTGGTGTCCTCTTGTTCCAGGGAGGCTGTGCTGGATGCTTTTTTAGATGATGGCTTCCTCATCCCCACATTTGAACAATTGGCAGCTTTGCAAATTGAGTATGAAGGTAAGGTCCTGGGCCCTCATTGTAGCCTTAGGGTTCTCTGTTTTCTGGGTGGGAACACCAGAGGTGGGTTAGGGGGCCCTGGACTGTGGGACTAGGGCTGTTTCCCACCATCCCATGGCTTGTGGAAGCCCCTCAGCTCTCCTGTGTGAGCAGAACAGGTAGCCACACTGATAATGCAGTTGTGGGGCTTCAGTGGGCTGGGGTCAGGTCTGGGGAGTATTAATGCCATTATTGTGCCATGTCAATTGTGGTTTAGCCACTAACTAGGAAGCTAGAACAGCAGCACTGGAAGGGCCTTGTGAGGTCATCTAGTCCAAAATCCTAATGTTATAGATGGTCAGACTGAGGTCCAGAAGGGGGAAAGTACTGAGCGAAAGTCAGAGTGAGTTGTTGACAAAGTTGAAGCTAGAACCAGAGCTCTTTTTTCTTTTGTTCTTTATTTTGAATCAGTTGTTGTTTGCTAGATACTAACTGGTTTCTCTCTCTCTGCTGCTCTGCTCTCTTCTCTCTTCTCTCTTCCTGTTCTGTGGTGGCAACTCCACTGGTGGTGGTGGGGTTCGCGTGTGCATGTCTGCACTCTGTTTCTGCCTTGCCCTTGCTCTCGTGTTCCCCTTTGTCCCCCATCAACGGTTGTCCCTCATAAATCAGAAAATGTGGACTTGAATGACATCCTGGTGCCAAGGCCGTTCTGTCAGTTCTGGCAGCCTCTGCTCAGGGGCATGCACTCCCAGACCTTCACGCAGGCACTGCTGGACAGGTTGTTCTCTGAGCTGCCAGCCTTGGGCAACAGTGGGATCCGGCCCACCTACATCCTCAGATGGACTGTTGAACTGATTGTGGCCAACACCAAGCTGGGTAAGGCAGAGTAGCCCTAATCTGAGGGCCTAAGGCAGCCCAGGCAGCAGCATCTGCCACTGTCCTTAGCTCTCTGCTGAGAAGTACTAGGCAGACACCTCCCGTGGGCAACAGTAGACAAATTTCCCTCTTCCTTTCTCTTCCCAGAGCCAAGTAAACTGCTCTAGGGCAAAGTGCCTTGAAAGCTTTGAGTAGTTCGGAGCAATAGGGTGGGTGGTCTAGGAGGAAGGGGAGGGATATAGCCAAACCTTCCAAGGCAAAAGGTTGGCGGGGTGGGGGGAGGGTGCTCAATGGTTCCTCCTCCTCAAGTCTTTTCTTCTCTCAGGACGGGATGCTCGCCAATTTTCCGCGAGCCAATGGGAATCAAGAAAGAACTGGAGACTGTTCAACTGCTCTGCCAATCTTGACTGGCCCCGGGTGGTTGAGTCTTGCTTAGGCTCACCTTGCTGGGCTAGCTGCCAGCTCCTTCAGCTGTAAGTCTCTTGAACTCCATTTGGTAAGATAGTGAGGCCCCGTGAGCCTCAGGGCCACACAGCCCTACAATGGCCAAGTTGGAAGGCCCTTTTGAGGACATCTAACCCAGAGTTGCTCCCCTTGATAGATGGGAAAACTGAGTCTGGGGAGGGGGGTGGGTAAGGTGTTCTTCCCAAAGAACATACAACTTAAGACCTGGCTGGGCTGAGTCCAGCATGAGAATGCTTAGCACAGTGGCCTGCACAGAGTTAAGTGCACAATAAATGGTAGCTGCTGTTTTTATTAAACCCAGGTCTTCTGACTGCATGCCCAGTGCATGCCTAAAGTGTACCTCTGAGAGTGGCTCAGCAACCTTCACTGGCCCTCTGCTGCCTTCCTGTTGAAGTACAGGCTTCTGAGCCTGACATTCAAAGATCTTTCTGATTCTGGCCCAACCTCCTCCAAATCCCTTTTACCCAACCCATTGTGGTTCTGTGGTCAAACTGAATATTGCACTGCTTTGTGTAAATACTTGTAGTTGTCTCCTTTGCCTTTTCTCTATCATTTCCTGACCCCAAGCCACTTCCCTCATACTCATAGAAGCCTTTAGCATCTGATTCTCTTCCTGCTTTCTGGAGCAATACCTGTTTCATTTGGGTGACCCATCTGCTGCTCACCAGTGACTTCCATTGTCCACTACACTCAGCAGCCCATTGCCCTCATTGGAGGTGTCCCACCTCTGAAAGCTGACCTCGCAGCATCCCACTCGGCGACCACCACCTCTCGTCTTTCTAGTTTTCACCTTGCATCTCATGACATCTGCTCTTTGTCTGCATCCAGACCTGTATCTTTCTATTTCCTGCCTCCCTCGACCTTGCTTCCCCTCAGTCGTATCTGTGGTTGCTCCTTTCAGCCACTCATCATCAGCATCCTCAGCTCTGCCCATCCTTTGGCTGCATCTGACTTGCAAAACCCAAGCTGGGATTGTTTCTCCCCATTCTGCTTCCCTGCTCCTCAATCTGGGTAGCTGAGCTCTGCTGGAGAAAGCCTATACATAGCCCTGCGGATTGCTGCCACTGCAGAGGTATATGAGTTTTAATCTTGGGCTAGGTAGGCCTCATTTCTGCTTGTCTGAACTTTGACTTGTTTTTCTGACCACTTTTTCTCTCATTTCTTGACTATTCTAAACCCTTACCACTCACCTCAAACCCTTCCCCCTCTCCCATTTTACCCTAGCTTCCTCGAGCACATGGAGGCATCCAGCAGGGCCCCCTCGACCTGAGATCCAGTTCACTCCTGTGAACTGATCTGTGGCTGCACTGAACCTTCTTGCCTGTCTCAGGAAGAGGTGGCCTTGCCCTGCCTCAAAGCCTGCTCCTTCACCTGTGCTCTGGAGCCACCTCTGCCACCATCACTGGGGCCTCCCTCAGCCTCTCCCTTGCTCTACCGGCTCTTGTTCTTCAACCTATGAATATCCCCGAGTTTTTCTCATCTTAAAACAATAACAATACAAGCAAAATTTCCTTTCACCCCCAAATTCCTCTGTTGGGTTACCTCCAACTTGTCACTCTTTCCTCTCCAGTCAAAACATTTCAAGAGAGTAGTCTATGCTCAATGGTCTCAGTTTCCATACTACTCTCTTAACTCCCCAATCTGCTATAATTTGGCATTAACCCCAAGAGCTGACCTCCAGATTACCAAATCCAGTGGCCCTTGACAGTGTCTCTGTCTTCTGCATTGATGCTATTTACTACTCCCTCCTAGAAGTGCCTGTGTTGATTACGAGTTCCTACAAAGTGCTGAGGCCCAAATTTCTTTATCTAGCCCATGCCCTTCCCCCAAGATTCAGCCTGCTATGCACATCGAACATCTCCCCTTGGATGACCCACAGACAACTTACTGGGACCAAAAGAGAATTGGTCAGCTTACTCCCTGCCCTGATTCTAAAGTGATCTTCCTCTGTTCCTTAGCTTACTTGGTGGTGGCACCATCTACCCTGTCCTGTTCACTCTTAAATACTTCCCAAATCTGAGATTTTGTGTTGCCCTGTCTACTTCCCCTAGTGTCTCCTTCACTTTTTCTGACTGAGCTTTTCAAGGGAAAGGGCTCTGTGTTAACTATCTGTGCCCCAGCCTTATCACACAAGTCCAGGCACCAGTAAACGTAATTGAACTGAACTGTCCTCTGCTTTCTCATTGCCAGCTGGGAACTGACCCAGTGCCTGGGGAATGACTGAAGTGGGAATCTGGATGCCAAGACTCTTAGTCCGCTGGTCCCCCTATTGAGTCCAGAAGTATTTCTTGAACCGTTATGGCAAAATAATGTGTTCATAAGATAAAAATGAGGTCTTGTAGACAGTCAAGGCAAGACCTCCAGTAGATGGGATTGAACCAAACAGCCACATTGCCAGATGTATGTGCTGGAGACTAGAAGTTACACGGTTGGGTGGGAGAGTGGGAGGAGAACCACAGGGCCTGGAGGAGTGTCAGGGGAGGCCTTTGAGCAATTCAAGCAGAGGAAAAACGAAAAGGAAGTTTCAAAGTCCAGAAGGAACATGGCATGTGTATGCAATGGGGGTGGGGGGACTGAAAAGAGCAGCATGGAGAGGCTTGGATAGGTGACCTTCAAGGTACTTTCCAATCCTAAGTGCCTGCAGAATGGAAGCTGCTGGTCTTGGAGAAGTCTGGACCACAGAGATCTTCTCCCAACCCAAGCAGACCAGAGGGATGCGACATATGCCAGCAGTAACAGCGGCTCACTTGGGTACGATTCCTTGTGCACAGATCCTATCTTCCCCAGATAATCAGTAAATTTAGTGTTCATCTCCCCATTGCACAGACTGGGAATCAGGGAGAATTTGCCCAGGTGTTATGTGGCAAGTCAGGCAGAGCTAGGGCCAGATTCTAGATAGCCTGTCTTTAGTCCCATGCTCTTCTGTAATGTCCCACTAGATTGTACCATTGCAGAAAGTGTCTGTCATTAGGCTCATAAAAGGAAGGAGGTGCATTTCAGAACTCCTGTCAGCCCTGCACCTTAGCAGTCAGACTAGGCAGCTCGAGATAGCTGGTGGGTAATAATAAACATCAGTGATAAGGAGTCTTGCCAGTATCAGATGCATGGGGATATTTATTATTCATTACACTAATGGATCGCAGTGAGAGGCCAGAGTTTCTCTCTGGCTTTTCCTCTAATAAAGCTGGAAGCTTTTCAAGCGCTTCCTCCAGCCAGCCAATATCAGCTTGGTTTGAGCCAGTGTCCTCCTGGAATATGAAATTAGCCCCACAGAGAAGGGTCCCCCGGTCTCTCAGTGGCGGTCCCACTAGCCCCCGGCCTTGCTTGTGCTAATGTATGTGACCAGTCGACATGCGTCTGGACAGCAAACAGCCCATGGAGCAGACGTTCCCCCTGGGAACTGCCCACAGTTCAGTCTCAACACACCCAGAAGGAAACTCCCAGCCACACGCCCGGCAGGACCTGGGCGCCTGTTGGTGCCAGGTTCTGTGCGTGGCCCTGTGAGGGGTGCTCGTCCCCTTCCCCCTCCATGAGTTCTCCTTCCCAGCGGCTCTGTGTGTGTCGGTGGTTTTGCTGTGAGCCCCGTCTTGTGTGTGCTCCGTGTCCTCATCTTTAACTCTCCTCTGCCAGAGCCCTGCCAGCGTCACAAGCCCTGCCCTCTGTCTGTCTGTCTGTCCCTCACAGCTTCTCTCCCTTCCATCTCCACTGTTGGTACCCTAGGCCAGCCCTCACCGAGTCTGGCCTGAACTGTGGCTACAGGGTAGGCTCCCTGCCTCCAGGCTGCCCGCCCAGGCTGTCCTCCACGTGGCGTCCTCCACACAGTCACCATGGTGATCTTCAGAAGCAGCCTTCACCTGTGCTCAGAGTTGGCAGGTGACCCCCGCCCCTGCACCGCCCCCCCCATACACGTCCTTCCCAGCCTTGTCTTCCTCCCACAGCTCCTCAGCACAGGCCTTGCCCTCCAGCCAGGCTGCTCACCGCACCCAGCACGGTGTGCTCACTCTTGTCTCTGGTCCTGCACGAAGCCCTCCCTTGCTCTCACCTGCCCTCTGTGCTCTCTGCCTCCCCCGGCTCCCATGGTGCCCACGGTAGGTCCACAGTGCTCATCTGGCCTCTCTCCCACATCCTGCTTTGTCTTGTCAACGGCTGCTTTTTTTATTTTCTTTTCCTCCATCCCAGGCTGGGCTGTAGCTGTTCCCGCACAGGGATGGCACTTTGTGTTCCGTGCAGAAGGAGCCCAGCCCACTTCCAGGTGTATCCTTGGAGCACTGGACAGATTGCTCCACTAGGCCAGCGGAGAGAGGGGTCTGCCATTCTCATCTCCAGCCCTGTAGACCTACTGGCTAGTTTGCATATTTATGTAGCATTTCAGTGCAGATTAAGAGCTATCATTTATTGCATGCCCACTATGTGCCAGGCACTGTGCCAGGCATTCAATGTCAGCTTTCTTATTTACTCCTCCCAACAACCCTATTAAGATAGGTACCATTATTGTCCTCATTTTACTGAGCGTGGAAATAAGGTACAGAGAGGAACCAGAGCTTGTTCAGGGTCCAGTGGTCCTGTTTTCTGTATTTTCTGCTCTGCTGCACTGCCTTTCAAAGGCATGTCTAGAAGCTTAGACACCAAGTCCACACCCTCTGGAGTATTAGGGTATGAAATGACTTGAGATTTTGAATCTTTACCTACCCCATCCCTCCCTTTGCTCAGCGTCTTCAAAGCCATGGGGCAGGTCCTACCACAAGGGGAACAGGAGAAGCTGCTGCGCCTCTGTTCCATTTATACCCAGAACGGAGAAGATAGCCTGGAGCTGGAGGGCTTTGAGCCCTCCCCCATTGGGAAGTCTCCGTACACCCTGGATAGCCTGCAGTCCATCCTCAAACCAGCTGGCTCCAACTGTGGGGCTGAAGGAAAGGCCCAGCAGCAGGAGGAGAAGGACAGCCTTACTGATGTCAAAGAGGAAGAGAAGGAGGAGGACAAAGGCTTGCAAGACCAGGTAGAAGAGGGGGAAGAGAAAGAAGAAGAAATGGAGGAAGAGGAAGAAGAAGGGGAAAATGACCAGGAGGAGGAAGCAGAGGAGGGTGAAAGTGATGAAGATGATGAAGATGACGAAGAGGAGGAGGACGAAGAGGAGGAGGAAGGAATGGAAGTGGCACCTTACACTATATTGCAGGAATCTCCCGGTTTCGAGTTTGCCAATTTCATGGCCCACAAAAGAGGAGCTTTGCAAGGCTCTTCATGGCAAGTTAGCTCAGGTAAGACGCCTGATAGCCACTTCCATCCTACACCAATTTCTTCCCTCTGGCTGGCTCTGGAGGTTTCCTTTCATCCTAGGGAAGAGATGGAAAGTAGCAGGGCATAGTGGAGGTGAGGCAAGCTTGGGAGGCAGCCTGATACATGGATGACACGTGGCTTCCCTCTCCTTTAGGATGGAGCCTGTGAGCTCCGGGAACCACCATCAGGCTGCTGGCTGCTTCATGTAGAGAAAGTATGTGGGTGTGGGCACTGGGCAGTGACGCATAGGCAAGAGAAGGCCGGAGGAGGGAGGGTGTGTATGTGGATGATTCTGCACATGTCATTCATGGACAGTGAGAGAGCTTTTTATGTATATATGAGTGGATTACACAGAGAGGCTGGCTGGTGGTAAGACAGGATTTTGCTGTGTGTATTAGAAAGAACAAACCCAGGGAATTAAGTCAGAGAAACTGGAAGTGAGATCTGAAGAGAAGAAAAGGACTAGTACAATTTAGGTGAAGCACACAGGAGGGCTATCAAAGTAGAGTAGGGAGGAATGCAGGGACAGTTGGTGATGTGAGAGTGGCAAGCTGCTTTTCTGAGTGGTCTTTTGAGTGCCCTCACAGGTTAGTGAGCAGAGACCCAGAAGGAGTAACAGAACAGTGATGTGTGTGGGAGCCTATGTGTGTGTATGCACACAGTAGAGGCAGGAGCACGGCCTATGTGCTAGAGTATGAGAGAAGTAGGGAGAGAAAACGGTGGGGCCTGGGTGTGGTGTTTGGGGAGCACAATGAGGAGTGAGAAAATGAGTGGGGAGGCAGGGAATAAGCCTATGGGGAAAGGTATGGTCTGTGTCATTGTGTAGAGGCAGGTGTGGAGGGGCTAGGGCATTAAGGCCCTGAGTACTAGGGGTGGGAGAGTACATTTGTGTCCCTGTGTGGGTGGGTGGGAGGGTGGGGTTACTTGCACCTGCTGGACAAATAATGGCATGTTGACAAATACCTTAAGGCAAGGAGGGCTGTGTTTTTGAGTTTTTAAAACTAGTGAAAGGCACATTGGCACAAGCAGAATTGTGTGTGTGTGGGGGGTGGGATAGTGAAAGGAGAAGTCATCGTGAAATCTTTGCTAAATGTACAGTAGTACAGCTGTGTATACATGCATACATGGTCGTGTATATTTTTTGGAAGAGGAGGCAGTGTCACCAAGACCCACAAGGGCCAAGAGGTATTTGTGTGAAAAAAAGAAGTAGCAATAATGAGAGGTAGGGACCTGTGGAAGGGCTTGGGAACAGACAGTGAGACAGCCATCCCAGAGGTGGCCTGTGTATTTGTGCTGTCACTGAGGGTCCATATACAAGAGTGTCAGTTTAGAGGTAAGGACAGTGACGGAGGGTAGGGGATGTTAGCAATGTGGAAGATGGTCAGGTCAGTGACAAACAGAACCCATGAGGGGAATGACCCTTGTGCATGATTCTGGGCATCAAGATAGGTATAACCTGTAAGAGCTAGGGGTAGGGAGTGGGCAGCCAGATGCACAGCCCTTCTTGAGGGGCACCTCTGGGTTATATAAAAAGCTGGTCCAGGGATAGGCTTTTAGCCTGGTGATTAAGATGCCTGCATCCCATGTTGGAGTACCTGGGTTCAATACTAGGATCCAGCTCCTGACTCCAGCTTTCTGTTAATGCAGACCCTGGGAGGCAGCAGTAATAACTCTAATAATCATGTCCCACCCATATAAACCCTGATTTATTTCCCAGCTCCTCGCTCTGGACTTGGCCCAGTCCCAGCCATTGCAGGCATTTAGGGATTGAACTGGCAGATGAGATGTCTCTATTGTTCTGTCTCTCAAATAAATAAGTAATTTAAAGAAAATGCTAGTCCATGGGTAAGAGTTTGGTGCAGTTTGTTGATGCTGCTTGAGATGCACACGTCTGATATCCAAGTGCATGGGCTCAAGTCTTCCAGTTCCAGCAGGTGATGGCTCCAATAGCTAGGTCCCTGCCACCCATGTGCGAGATCCAGATAGAGTTCTGGGTTGCTTGATTTAGTCAGGCCCAGCCCTGGATATTGCAGGCATTTGGGGAGTGAACTAATAGATGGGGATCTCTATACTGGTTGCTCGCTCGCTCTCTCTCTCCCCTTCTCTCCTTCTCTCCTCCCATGCCTTTCAAATAAATAAAATGAAAAAATATATTTTAAAGAGCCAGTCCAGAGTTGATACCTTACAGAATGCCAGGAGCATTATTATAGGGAGAACACTGAACCAAGGAGAAGCAGGTGGCCAGGAACAAAATCTACATGGAGCTCACTAGTGAAGGCTTTTTTTTTTCAGAAACACTGCATTCATCTGTGTAAGCATGGAGAGGGAGGAATGAATATGGTACTGTTTGAAGGGTGTATAAGTGAGAAGACGGAGATGCTAAATGACATGGTCCACCTAAAGTGGAATGTGTGTGGAGGGCAGGGTTTTGGGTTATGAATGTGTAAGGGCTAGAGCATTAAGTCGTTCCCTCCCCCCTTGCCATTGCTCCATCTGTGTGTGCGTGTACACGTGTGTGGAGGTAGGGATGGAATTTCTGGTTTGTGTGTCTGAATGAGAGGTGTGAGAGGCAGGGCGAGGTATGAAACCGGGGACATTCACTGAATGAGGGCTTGGTATGTGAGCTTCTGTGTGTATACTTGGGTGGCAATGAGGGGCAGGCTGTGTAGTGGAGACAGCCTTTCCCTAGAGGAGGGATGTTCTTTGTGCATCTGGGGGCAAGGGGTGTATATTACTTCTGAGAGAGTCCACCCAGAGGTGGGTGAGGGTGTGGGTGTGTATGTATATCACTTCAGGCAAAGCCGCTTCTAAGAAAGAATGTGGCATTGCAGTACGTCAGGGGGCTAGCACGTAGGTGTGGAGGAAATCTAAGTCATACAGATAGGTAGCAGTGGGTTTGGAAGGGAGCTGCTGTGGGAATTCTGGGATAGGCAGACCCTCTGTGGTGTGTGTGTGTTTCTCCCACAGGCAGGGAAATAGGGATGAGAGTGAGTTCAAGGCCATGATGCAGCCAGGTCTAAAGATGTTGTCTGTGTCTATGGGGACATGCCTGGGAAAATGGGGGGAAAGCAGAGGAACAAAAATGTCTATAGTTGTGTATATGCCTGTGTGTGAGAGATAGAGGTGTGGTGGGGGACTCTGCATGGTGCAGTGGGCTGTGATGGGAAGTGAGAGAGGAGTGAGACTGGGGATATGCAGATGGCCTGTGCTGAGTGACCTCACAGTGGGCTGGGTGGGTGGGCCTGTGCACCAGAGCCTCAGTTCATCAGTCCACTCCTGCCACCTGTCTCTGTTCCACAGAGGATGTACGATGGGAAAAATTCCCTATAGGCCGAGTGCCAGGTCAGACTGAAGACCCGGCTGAGCTGCTGCTGGATAAATATGACACCATGTATCTCTTGGAGCAGCCTGTGCTAGAGCAGCGGGTGGAACCCCCGAAGTGCAAGAGTGGGTGAGTGCCCATGGGAGCAGGATTTCTCACCCCATTTCTCTGCCACCTGTAGAGGGGAGAGGTGGAGGCCAAGTGGGGTGGGTAGGGGCAGTGGCTGTCCCTGCCGGCTTAAATCAGTGAAGTATAAACTCTAGTCACTGGCTGGGCCCTTGCCCAGGATACCCTGCCCTAGAGTGGGGAGTCAGTAAAGTAGTCACACACAGCTGGCTTGGTACTACTCTCAGATTGCATTCAGTTAGTCTAAGTGAACATGTGTACATGTGCATGTGTGTGTTTTGGGAGGAGACAGATCCGTAGCTTTCAATATTCTCTACAGGTCCACCACTCCCAAAAGCTCAAGAACAAGATGCTATAATCCATCTATTTCATGTTCTTGTGGACAAGGAAACTGAGGCCCAGAAAGGGGAAGGGATTTGTCTAAAGGTGCACAAGGTAATCAGTAAGCCTCCCTGCACTATCCGTGCATCGTGGTAGCAAGGCCTACGCAGGACTCCATGCTCTCCCCCAAAATTTGCCTTTGGACCATGGGCCTAGGAGCCCTTGGGCATCAGGGGGCCAGTAATAAGCAACCCTCAGAGGGGCTATGCTGGTAACAGAAAAGCTCATCCAGAGGGCCTGTATGTTCCAGAATGCTGGGCCATTGTGATGAGGAAAATCCTTGAGTACCAGAGACCTCTGTGGGCCCCTGTGTGCCTGCTCCCTGGGAGATGAGCCCCTCTTCATCTGGCATTTTGGGAGAGGGCTCAAGAACCCAGGGACCCCAGAAGGCCAGGTCAAAAGCTATGTCATGGACTCTACTCAAAGCCAGGGGGCAGCAGGCCTCTTGAAGAAGAGAGGAGGCAGCTGCGGAAGCCAGGTAGTCTATAGTTGGGAGTAAGGTTCACTTGTCTGAGAAAGACATCCCCTCTCCCTTCAGCCCTAACTAACCTGGCCCTGGGTAAGGCTGGCTCGATGAGCACCAGGGTATCAAGGGTGAAGTATAGGCAGGTGGAGCTGTTAAATCAGGAAAGAAGCTGATTCAGCTCAGCTTCCAGAACCCCTGTAGTAAGGGAGACTTCTCCGCTGGAGCAAGGCACACCCACCCTTGCTCTTTGTCTCAGCTCCAGCCCTGACTTGAATATGTGGCCCTGGGCAAGTCCTTTCTCATCTTTGGGCCTCAGTTGCCTTGTTGATAAGATGGCGGCTGGTTGGAGGGTATAGGACTAGATCATCTAAGGGTTTTTTCTACTGCAGTAGCGTAACCCTGGATCTGCCTGAAGGAAAAGATGATGGCTTTGCTCTCAGCTGTCACCCTCATCCAGGTGGAAGGATGTTGGATCTGCAGGAAGTAGGGGAAGCAAGAGTGTTCTGAGCCAGGGAGAAGGAGGGCAGTCAGTAGTTGTTTCCCTAGCACAATCTTACAGTTATGGGAGGGGAGTTGGGCCTAGCCCTACTGCCCAAGCCTGGCCTTGGGCCTCTTAACCATCTGCTGGGTGTGGGAAGGACCCAGCCCAGAGTCGTCTGGGCCCCCAAGTTCCTGAGAGGAGGCCTTGTTGAGGGAGCCACTTTCAATATCTTCCTGGTGGTGGGTTGGGGAAGGGCCCCTTCCCTTACCTCAACCCTAGCAGCTCTGCTTTAGTCTGGTTTGTGCACTGGGGCTCTGCATAAAGCTTCATTCAGAAATTCCACTCTTCCTTCCCTTTCCCCTACCTCAAGTAAGGGGGGAGGGCAGAGCCAACCCTGGGTCCCACTTGAAATTGTTTCTCAGATTTGCTCCAGTCTTTTCATTATAAAGCCAGGAAGGAGGATGGGCCTCAGGCCCCACCCTTCCCACAGAGACACATGCATGCACGCACGTACACACACCCCAGTCAAGCACTTTTGGCCCCTCCCCCAAGCCTAAAGCTGCTTCCTTCCCTCACTGACCCCTCACTTTCTCTGCAGCATCTTGAACATGAACTGTGATGTCGGCAGTAGCAACTGCAGCAGTGGCAAGTGCGAGCGCCTTTACTGGAACCAGGCACAGATGCACAGGATCAAAACTGGTGTGCAACTCTTCTGATGCCTGTCCTGGTGCAAGTGATCATCCAGCTCTGCCAGGACAACAGCCCACTCCCCCGTCCACTGCACCCTGTGCTCCGTGAGACAACCTGAGTGAGAGCTCGGTTCAGTAACAACAACTCAACTTTCCAGTGGGATTTTGAGTATGGTTTGAGTTTTTTGTTTTTTTTTTTTTGTTTCGTTTTGTTTTGTTTTAGAAAACAATAAACAGGCAACTGTTGTTTTGATATGTTTGTGAGATGAGGGAGTATGTGCTGGGGCATATCAATGTAGTTTTCCCTTTCCTGTGGAAGATCCAGAGAGGATGGGATCATAATAGGGTTTTGAGCAGGAACTGGATCCTGAGGCCCCTTGCCCTGATCCTACAACTAGATTCCATATCTTCTGCCTGACTCAAACCATTTCTGCTCCCTTCAGCTGTAGTATGGGGCCAGCTCACTTGGAAGAATCAGGCTATAGGGGAGATGCATTACTGACCACAGAGCTAGGTCAGCACTGGTGGGGTGCGAAGGGGGCTGGCTCACAGCCTCTGGACAGTGGGAAAACTCAGGTTTTCCTGTTGTTACCCAGCAGACTTCCTGTTCATCCCCTTGCCTGCCCTCATTGGGCACCAAACAGTGAAAGCCAGAGAATCCTTTCTTTGTCACTTCTCCACTCTTTTGATTCAGAAAAGGTAGACTGGACTTCTCTGTGGTAGGCATTGGAGCCAGAGAAATGTTTTAAGGACTGACCTAGAGCCCATTCTGTATGGTCAGTCCCCTTAGATACCTCACTAAAGAGTGCTTGCCTTGTGTCAGCCCTGAGCTGCCAAGAGACAGGATGAAGAGACCACGTTCTCACCCCTCAGGACCTTGAGCCTGGTGAGGAAGGACCAAGTCACCAAGTGATAACTTGATGCCCCTGCTAATCCCTTAAGGGGCTTCTGTAAATGGCTGTATGAAGAAATGTTGAGTCTGATGCTGTGGGAGAGCTCAGTTAAGGTTTTTGGTTTTGAAATGACTTACCTAGGTGATACTTGTATTACATTCCTTTTTTTAAAAAAAATCTATTTATTTGAAAGGCAGAGTTATAGGGAGAGAGAAAGATATACCTTTCCATTCACTGGTTCACTCCCCGAACGGCTACAATGACCAGGGCTGGGCAAGACTGAAACCAGGAACCCAGAACTCTGTCAGGTTCTTTCATGTGGTCGATAGGGGCCCAAGTATTGGCACCATCATCCACTACTTTCCCCAGGTGCATTAGCAAGGAGCTGAAACAGAAGTGGGGCAGCTGGGATTTGAACCAGCATCCATATGGGATGTCATTGTCTCAAGCAGCCACTTAACCTGCTGCACAATGCCGGCCTCTCAGTTAAGGTTGTAACTTGAGTAGGGAATCTATAACCCCTGAAGGGATATATTAAATATCTTTGTGGAGATAAACTTACATAAATTTTTCTAGGGAGCTGATGCACAGATTCTATCAGATCATCAAAGGGGCCCATGAATCCAACATGGTCAGGGTTTCCTTTCCTGTTTGGACCCATGCAGTGGACATGTGCAAAACAGTCTTCAAACACAGTTTCTCTACAACTGCTCCCTGTCTCCTCACAGTGGCAAATGCTCTAAGTTAGCATCCTGGAATGTCAGAATAGCTCTCAGAGAGCACCTAGGCCATATATGGTGAGGGCATTTGCAAATGTGTATTCTGGGAGGTAGTCCCGTGCCTGCTCTGTGGGGAGATGGGTGCCAAAAGCTCTGTCCTCCACTTCACCAGAGCAACCTTGACTTTATTGTCTGTCTTGGGATCCTACATAAGATGGATTTTTGATGCTAAAAAGCATTTGGCAAGCGTTGTTCTGGTCTAGCCCCCTCTTTGTAGGCATTGAGACAGTGTGGCGCTTGAAAAGGGGAGAGATGTGCCCCAGACCACAGAGCCAAGTGTTTTTTCATGTCAGCCTCACCTTGTACTTGTTAGAAATGCAAATTACTGAACCTCACTCCTGACCCTAGGAATCAAACCTTGTAGACAGGCAGCAGTCTCTGGTTTAACTAGTCCTTAAGGTGATTGTGATACAGACTAAAGTTTGAGACTCACTGACAACAGAGGAAAAGCCACCAAAAGACCTGGGCTCCAAACAAGCTCCACCACTTTAAACAGAAGCAGCCTTGGGCAAGTCATGTCACAGTTTCCTCTGTACAAAGAGGAATAATATTTGCTTCACAGGCTTCTCGAAAGGACCAAAACAGATAATAGATGTGCTTTCTAAAGTGATTCACACTTAATATGTATGAGTGGTGTGAACTCATGCTAGGGTTGATGAGTCTTGAATTCAGAACTCAGTTGTCTGTATAATTCTGGACAGTGCTTTCCCCTGGCCCTCAAAGGTGAAAAATGAGAAGGCGATCTGAGCTCACTTCTGGTCCAGGTCCAGAGAGAGTAAGAGCCAAGGGCATTGTTAGCTTTAGTCCTGAAACCTGGCAGTTGAGAGACCAGGTTGAAAGGGCTTCAGATGGTGGTGGTGTATATAGGGTGGTGTGGAGTGCCAGGAAGCAACCTTGGCCTAGTGCCCTTGAACCTTTTCCTTCTGATTAGAAAGATCAGAGACTGATTAGTAAAAGTCTTTGAACTGTAAATATTTAACTGGGACACAGAGATGAGTGTCAAGGGAAATGTTTGATTATATTATTGTTCAACAATGGTGATTGAGAGATCCCGTCTGATGGATAATTCATCAGTGACAAAGGGTATGGTTCCTGCGGCCCTGCCCTGAACTAATTGTTTTGGGGTGGAGACTGCTAACTTAATTAGGACAAAACACCAAGTGCTAAAGAAGTATTAAGGCTCACTGTGGGGAGGGACTAACAATACCTGGACCGGGACATAGAACAGTTTGTCAGAGGTGACATGAAAACTATCTTCAAAAGTAAGGCTTTGCTAGTCAGAACAAGGCATCCATAAAAGGAAAGCCAAAGTCCAGAGGGGTAGAGAAAGAGCATGGTTGCAGTAATCAGTACAGGGTCCAGGATATTTATTTGAAAGATGGTGATGTGACTTCATAGGCCATGAGGCCAGAGAGCTGAGCTGGAGAGGAATATGGTGAGAGTTGTTGATTTTCCACTTGTCTCTTCCTGGAATTTGAATCATTCTTACCATTCTCTTTCTCTTCACACTGCCACTGCCCTCCAAGGAAGTCAGGGTATTAATTTATTCTCTGTGTTTCATTCCCTTATCAGAGTGCAAGTGCCCCAAGATAGGAACTATTTGTTCCTCTTCTTTCTCCCTAGGCCACTTATAGGCCAGTCCCCTATTTGGTTCTTAGTAAGAACTTGATGTATGTATTCCCTAGGAATGTGACAGGAGGCAGCAGGAATAAAAGACAGGAAAAGGGTGAGGGGAGATGAGTATCTTCAGTCCCGTGGAGGGTGGTAAAAGGAAACAAAGCAAAACAGAATTCTGGGGTCAGTGCTGTGGTGCAGCAGGTGGCATAGTGGGTGAAGCCAGCACCTGTGATGCCAGCAGCCCCCATGGGTATGAGTTCAAGTCCTGGCTGCTCCACTTCCACTCAAGCTCCCTGCTCATGGCCTGGGAAAGCAACCGATGATGGCCCAAGTATTTAGGCCCCTGCCACCCACACGGGAGACCCAGAAGAAGCTGCTGACTTCAGCCTGACACAATGCTGGCTGTTGAAGCCATCTAGGGAGTGAATCAGTGGATGGAAGATTCTCTCTCTCTCTCTAACTGACTTTCAAAATAAATAAGTAAATCTTAGAAAACCAGAATTCTTAGCTCATGAATAGTCCTTTGCAAAAGCTCCTAGGGCTGAGCTCTGCTGTAGCAACTGTGGCCTTTAGAATGAGACTAGCTTGGGGTAGGGTGAGGGGTGGAGTAGGAGGCTCCAGAGAGGTCTGACACTGTAGTAAAGGGCTTGCCCACCTGGGAGTCAGGAGGCCAGTGCTTCCAGTCCTTTTGCCTCTTAATTCTGTTTGTCCTTGGTCAAATCTCTTGGTACTCTTGGAGCCTCAGTTGCTTCCCTATCTCCTAAAGGAGCTGATGCAGCTGAGCACTCTGCAAGTGGGAAGTGTAGGGTGCAAGGCCCCTTTTGGCTCTCTTGAGACTTTGGGGAAAATCCTTAAAGGCTATGTACAGAAACAAGCCTGGGCCTTGAGCCTTCTACTTGGTTCTACCCCACCAGTGGATGCCCAGCCTTGCTTTGTGGGAAACACCAGTCTGAATAGCACTTGGAGCTATGTTAGTCTTCGCAGATTACAGGGCATCTGCTTACTGTGGTAAAATTCAGGTGAACTCCTTTGGGGGGAATCCTTTGCCTTATGAGCTTAATTCAAGTTGCAAGTCACAAGGACAGAAATACAGTATCTCAGGATTAGACTCTGTGTGTGTGTGTGTGTGTGTGTGTGTGTGTGTGGTATATGGCTTCTGTTTTTGATGTTTGTAAAGAAAGAGCCATTAGTGCTTAGTAGACAAACAGTTTATGCAGTAAATAAGTGTGGATACAGTTCATTGTTGTCAGTGATACAGCATTTCCATCACAATTATAGGTGAAACTAAAATCTCTTGAAGTAGTCATAGCAGATTCATGCTAGTGAGAACATATTACAAAACATTGCACGTGCATTATAGAGGCAGACAAAACTGGGGAAGAGATATATTTTTACTCACTTCTGGTTGGCTTCGTGTATTTTGTCATTGAGACTTACATTATGTTTGGGTCAAACAAAAAACCCAAAGAGGTTTTATAAAAGTTTACAACCATTAAACATTATTGTTTAATCTCACAAATGAATAAAGCAAACTATTATAGCTCAATGATACACAAACCAGGACTAAAAATAGTCAATCTGCCTAGGTATATAGTTAACTACAATACAATAGATACTAACTATGCTGAGTCTTCAGAAAGGCATTGACTACTTTAGACAAGCAGGTTCCAGAAATACACTGGTTTGGTTTCCAATGAGAACTAAGTGTAGTGCCGTTTCACTTGAGACTATGCACTCCCCAGTGTCAGATCTGAGGAGGGGAAGGAAGAGTAGGGTTAGGAAGAGACCTGAGCAGGGCTCTTTGGACAGCTCGGCGTTACTTCCCCTGTGCAGATCCAGACCCGGTTCACAGAGTAAAACAAAGTGTATTGAAATCGTTGGCCCTCAAAAAGGGCGTTGTATACAAAGTCCCATACTTACAGCATAGATAGAATAGTAACTGAGCGCCTCTCAAAGCGAACTCTTCTATGTTTAGAAGAAAACTCAGTGCCACAGGTTAATGGATATCAATGTTGGAGTTACTGTATAAAGATAATTTCTTCCAAAATAGAAAAATAAAAAGGAATTTTAGCGAAGTATTTGAAACTAGGAGAGGGAGAGAGAGAAAGAAAAAAATACCATGCTATGTGTTTCATTTCTTAGAATAGGACAAGTTTTGGAGGCCATTTCCATGAGGCATCTGTCATTCTCCCTTCTCTACCTGGCACCTTAAGAGAGAGTACAATGTCTCAATGTTACCCTTGAAAAGGCTCCTATTCCTTGGAGCTGTCTTATAGAAATAGTGCCCTGGATTAACCATGCCATCCCAGGGTCACACATCTCCTTTAGGTCAAAATGAAAACAAAATGAGAAAATCACAAACAGCAAAAAGAAAAAAAAAAGAGAATTCACAAAAATCTACAAACTCTAAGGCCTGAATAGGCACAGACTGCTATGAGGTCAGAAAATCAGTGAAAGAATTAAAATTACAAAGCACCTCTTGCAAAATATACCACTTCTTGAAAACCACACAAAACACTGTGCAGTGACCCCTGCTGAGTGCTTGGAGGTAAGTATCCTGAAAGATACACGCTTAGCCCCATGAGGGAAACTTGGTTTTATTCCCAAGGGAACCAAAGGGGGTGTGTGTGTCCCAGTGCTTCTTTATTAATTGCTGTTTTATAACTACAGACAATGGAAAAGTCAAAAAGTATGCAGACTTCAATATAAAGAAAATGTTTCTTTAATAACTAAGAACCAAGCTGGGTTTATGCATTCATAGTCGTGCAGCTCCATTTATAGATTCTTGCAGATGATTCACTAACACAGATAACTTTTTACACAAAATCCCTTCCGCAAGGACATATTAAATTTAATAGCCTAAAGAGAACGTATGCAATATAATGCCTGAAACTGTACACACAATAGCTGTGCACCTAGTAATAAAGAGGCCTTGAAAAATTGTCTATCTATAAACTACGACTGCCCTTTGGAAATAAAAGCTCCTTCACAACCTCTGGGCTACTTCCATGTGACACACAGTGCCACAAACATCGGAGTGAAAATTCAGTACTAATCCTAGTTGATGAGTTTTGTACATTTGTTTCTATACAATCAGGAAAAAAGAGATACAATTTGTATCAACAAAAGGTCATTTCTGGTTATTTGAAGCATTGCTCCTAGCCGCTTTGGTTTATACACATTGTATGAGAGGAGAAGAATGACAATTGTTTTTAGGAAATAAGAAATACATATGCTGCCTTAAAAATATTTCCTATATTGGGAGAAACTTACAAACTGTTCTGAGTACTAAATATGAACATGTTCGAGATGGATTGCAGCTAACATGATAAATCTTGTGCTTCTGTGTAAATTGTGCAAATAGCGAATAATGCAGTGCCACTGATGATTTTGGTAGGCAGATGAACTAACTGGCACAAAGGCATCAGAGTCATCTGAGATTGTCAAGCTGATTTAGACACAGGGCAGATTGAGAAGGTTCAAGAAGTTAAAGGTAGGAAATAGTGTTTGTGTGAAATAGCAAGCACTGCAGGGGCAACTGTCACTCTGTGGACCTACCTGGTAGAAAATACTTTTAACACTTTCAGTAATGTGCTGAGAAATGGGACGATTAGAAGGTAAGAGATTAATGGGAAGCTGTGATTAACTGAAGAGTAACATTTGGTTGAGATGCAGAATTGATTGACTTGGACAGACAGAAAGCAGCATGCAAGCCATTATCAAACCACCAGAAACAACCCTGACTACAGCCTCACATTCGGAGTGTTTCACAGTAAGAAACATTTAATAGGCAGTGTCACACCTTCTCATGAAGAAACAAAAGGCCAAGGCCAGGCCTTCTCAACTTTCATGAAAAAAACAACCATAGAAGTTAGCAAGTTCCAGCTCAGGAAATAGTGAGCTGGTCATGGTTCAAAATGTTGAAATATACAATGGATTCAAAAAGGGGGTTCATTTAGTGCAGCTTTAAAAAAAATAAACAAGAAATACCTCTTCTAGAGGCACTTAGCTACAAAGTTTCCCACCCTGAGCAAGATACAAGTTGCGCAAATGGTGCCTCTCAATCCAAGGCCTTTCCTCTTTAGTAGCAAATCTAAGAATTAATTACCTTATTAGCAAGTGCACCCTCTTTGCGTGGATTTGAAGTGCATAACTGAGCCAGCTATGAGCAAAGATGCAGCATCCCCTTCTGGAAGCTGCTTTTTTTTCCTATCTAGAAAAATCCCTGGTTTTTTTTTTTTTTCCCTAAAGAAATTCTGCTCCACCAATGATTGACCTTATTGCCCAAAGGGTGGACAGCAGGAGAATAGTGGATTACATGGCTATGCACTGTCCTCCATTACATTTTCATCCTGTGGTGTTGAATACTGCATAGGTCAGAAGTCCAAAAAGCATCCATTAGTCCCTCCTTGAGTGAAGCTTTAGTATTCGCCATTTAATGCCACATGAGTTTGGCCATCTCTCCTGGGATACGGTGAGTGGCCTCTGGGAGTAAATCCTTTGGTCCTGGTCAAACTCTTCTGTGCTTGTGTAGCATACACGTATCCTATGATCGGAACTTGAGCTTATCCATCAGCTCCTCTGCAGAAGGCTGCAACCTGACCCCTAATTTGCTGAGGTGAAGAGACTTGGAAGCTAGGAACTATTAGTAAATGTTGGCTGGCCAGTGAAAAGTACAAAGGAAACAGATCTGGTTTGCTCTGGCGCCTAAGAAAGCAATGTTCTAATGTTGGCATGTACTTTCCACTTTCAAAACTAGTTGAAACTATGAAATGTAACATAAAATCATCAAGTCAGATTCATGACCTATACAGCTATAGACTAAGGACTGCTTAGAGCCTACCTTCTCATTATCACTATAAAAGTTGATACAGAGGTATGCACACATCTCAAATATATACATTCATACATGCAATATAATTGCTAATAGGTTTCAGATATAGCTCTAGAAGCCTCAATGTGACCCTATATCTTGTTTAATAAAGATATTGAATGATCAAATATCCATGCAAAAGGAAGTATTTGATTTTAAATAGCTTCAAAAAATCCTATTAAGAAAACCTAAAAGGTTAATTCAACATATACTCTGATCCTGATGTTTTTGCTCTCTAACTTGGATATATCATTCACACTTTGCAATATAGAATGTGTGACTAAGAAAATGCTGGTAATGGAATCCCTCGGGATTTCTCACATTTAGGCCTCTTCTCCCTGGGTTTTGTCCTCCATTACCTGCGCCATGCAGTGCACAAAGGGCATGGGACTTGTTGTCAGAGGACTTGGGTGTGTGTCTTGACTGAAGTCATTTGCTAGCAGTGTGACTTTGGCAAGTCAATCTCACTGAGCTTCAGCTCCCTGCTCTATAAAATAGGATGTTGGTAAGACCTACCTCACAGGGTTGTTATGCGCTTAAATGATGTAAACACTCTGTAACTTATTAAAAGCGCAACACAAATGATTAGTTACTATAATCATAGTATTAGTGTATTTGAAGTATTAATATTCCTATCTCTAGAAAGGACTGCAGTGGTCCTGTGTCACGTCAACGTGCAGCCCTAAGCTTAGCAACAATCAAGGCTGCCAGTTGCTGGGCATCTGCTGTGTGGGGATTCTTCTCCATCACTGCAAGAACAATGTTGGAAGGGAAAATATTGCAGAGGTTCTTATAGGTCTGATACTGGTGCTCTGGGATCATATGCTCCCTAGAATCATTGCACATTCCCACCCAAGGATTCCTCCAAAGCTGCTCCATCTTTTCGGGCACACTCCGTACCATGACTGGCTCGTAACATGGTTGCATGAGGCTGTTACTCAAGGGATAGGAGTGGTAGGCATAGGAGTCGGCTGCACAGGGCAGTGGGTCCCAGCTGGCGTGCTGTTCCCGGCACAGAGGAGGTCGTCTTTGCCTCATGGGGTTGCTCTCATAGAGGCGGGAGTCAGAAATGCTGTCCATCCGTGTCATCACCAGGGCACGGCCTGGCTGGGGAGTTGCCCCGGGATGGATATTGGGAGGCATGGAGTAGTCTCCAGGACAGCTGGAGCGTGCCCCAGTTGCTGGGTGTTGGGCATGCAGAGCTAAGTGGGAGACTGACTGCTTGTGAGGGGCCTGCTTAGAATCCTCTGGGCCGTAGCTCTGCACTCGCGTTAAGGCTTCATGGTAACCATGAGGAAAAGGCTGAAGACGGTTCTGAGATGCCGAGCGGTGCAACTTCAAACTGCCTTCAGAATGGGCATCAGCTACAGCCAAGTACAGGTTGTTGTAGGAAGAATAGTTGTCGTTCCTGGTATGGCTCATGCGGCTATCAGGACAGAGGTTGGGATTCCGGGCATACACCCCCCGGTCTGCTTCAGCCATGTAGTACTCTCGATTATGCAGGCTGTTGATGTTTAACTTGGAGAAGTCGCCTAACATCGAATAGTAGCCATGGTCCCCCATGGACTCAAACTTTGGGTATTGCTCAGCATAGCTAATAGGGGTCCCATGGCTGTTGGTAACGAGAATCGGGGGATACTGCATGCTGGCCATGTGCTCCAACGAGGCCTTCTGGTGTGGGAAATGGGAGGATCCTGGCACTGGGCTGCTGGCCGAACGAGTGTTGAGTGCACCCACTGCATGGCTTTTGGGGGGTGGGATTGTGGGGACACTTAGGGCAGTCACAAGCGAGGGGACAGAGCTGGCCTCAGGCTTACGGGCAATGGACAGCCATTCCTCAGGCTCCACGGCCACGGACCGGATGCTGGGATCGGATTGGCGCTTGGGGGCCACCCGTTTGACCTCTGAGGTTATCTCACCTTTGGCACTAGACATCCCTGTGCCACACTTGGCCAGGGTGCCTTCGCTCATGGTTTTCACTGTGGACAGTTTGGCACTGATGCGGAGCTCATCAGCCACCGAACGCTGCGGTTGGTTGGCCCGCTCCGGGTGGTAGTATTTGCACTTGTGGCCGTAGGTGCATTTTTTGCCTGAAAAAATAATGCCTTGGAGTAAGACTTTCTCATAGTTGCGCAACCCTCTGTGCCAGAAACTGTCAAAGCAACCTGGTCACTCAGGTTAGAGTTATTACTGTTTGGGGCTGAGGCAGAATATTAACTTTCCACAAAGGTGAGAGACAGACAACACCAAGGAGGCATCACACACTGCAAGGGGAGAGGGGTAGAGGTAGAAAGCTGGAGAGGAAATTGCAGTGTCAAAGCTAAGAGCTGAGCAGTTGAACAGCCTGGATTGTCCAGTGATGTACAGCTTTGCCTCAGCATAGCCTGCACGCTAAGGTGGTGGAGAGCAACAGAAGGCAGCGTGGTGCAGTGCAAATGAGCACAGGTTTGGAGGCCAGGCAAACCTGGGTTTCCATTCCAGCTATGTCCCTTACTAGCCTCGTGACCTTGGTCAGTGACTCTATGTTCCAAGCCTCATTTTCTTCTTCTGTAAACAGGGTTCATAAGCACGCCTATATTACAGGGTAATTGTAAAGATTCAATGAGATAACATGAAAAGATTCTGATTCAAATGTTCATCGAGGACAAAAACCAAATGCCCCATAAAAGTGATTGTCCAAAAAAAGAGCCAACATCCAAACTAGCCTCAGACCAAGCCCATGATGCACTGTAGGCTCACAAACTTTGTATCAGAGGGACTTGGGTAAGGACACAAAAACACTCTAGAAGAAGGTATCTTTAAAAAATAAAAAAAAAAATGAAAGGGAAGTTTGGAGGCAAAGTGGCAAACCACAGATCAGAAGGAAAGGGTATTATTAGTTGACAGAAGGTGGAAGTCAGCTGCCTGACAGACACATTCTTGGGGTCAAACCCAGTTTGGCATTGCTCTTTCTATTTCCGTAGGCCCCATAGGTTTCGACAACATTGCTCAGGACTCAGGCAGCTAGAGCTTGTATGTTATTTTAGCAAGTAACAGCTGATCTTCCCTTCAATTCTAGATACCTCTTCCTCATGCAGTTTCTAGGATTTTTTCTTTAAATACCTACTGAGAGTACATAAAGACACAAAACTGTAACTCACAGAAAGTGGATGGACCAGGATTCCCATCTGAAAGGTAAACCTGGGAGAGAAAAGTATCCACAGAGTCCTTATGTTTCCCCTAGTACAGAACTCAGTTCTGCACATAGGTACTCACCATAAGGACATGGTTGCTTCTTATGCTCAGGAACGACAGGTCTCTTTCTTAGGAAATTTTCAAGGCTTGGGCCATGGCGTCCTAAAGGATCATCTGGAGGCATAAATCTGAAAGCAAGCAAGCAAGGGGTGAATGTCTTCCCTTCTGTTGCCACTATCCCCTAAGCAGGAGTTCTGATTTTCATTAGCTCTGGCCTGTATTGTCACAGCTTTCTAATGGCCCCTCCTGGCTCAAGTCTGCCTTTTTCTGTTAAGCCAGCAGCTCTTCCTTTTGTTACCGCTTGGTCACACAGGAAGAATTCTTTTCCCTGTGCATCATTCTTCCATGTGAGTGTGTTCCAGCAGTACCAGTGTGCCTGCTTGTTCCCCCCAGCACGCCACTCACATTCACACCTTCATAGCTTTATTCATGTTGTCCCCTTCCTCTGTCATGCCCAGCAGCCCTCTTTGCTCTGTGAGCTTCATCTGAAATGTCATCTCCTCTGGGAGGTCTTTTTCTAAAACCTCCTGTAGACAGAGCAATTAATAAAAAACTTTAACCGTAGCGCTTATCACAACACATTGCAGTGGTTTCTTTCTCTTTCTTAACTGCACTTTCAGCCCTTTCAAAGTCAGTCCTGTTTCTCATTCAGCCTTTTATCTCCATGGCAACCAGCATAATGCATGGTACACAGTAAGTGTTCAGTAAATTTTTATTGAAATGAAATGAAATCTATTCCTACTGGTAACTTGGATAGAGGGCTATTATTCAGAGCCTACTGGAAAGAAACGCACTTGTCATTCACAAAAGAATACATCAGCAACCGCTCCTCAATGAACTTCTTCCATTCCGGCTTTTCAACTTGAAGGTCTCGGTAGTTATCGTTGGATACAATGATGCCATCAGAATCAAAAGCCAGTTTGACTATGAACCGGTCATCATAGCAGACAACTCTCCTGCCTTGGACCCTTCGCGATGGTGTGAAGACAAGAATCTTTTCCTTTTCCAGCTTACGTAGAATATCTTGATCTGTTGAAATATGATTATATACCACAGAGTAGAAATCCTCTTTGGAAATTAACAGTTTTATCCCCATATTACAAAATACAAAGTTTATACTAAATTAAAATATTTTCACTTAGAAAGTGGGTTCCATTCCCAGCTACAACACCAAATTGGATCATGACCTTAGGTAAGTCACCTTCCCCTTTGGATTTATTTTCAGTAAAATGAAGGAACTGGACTCAATGACCCCTGAATTTTCAAAGTTACCACGAAGAGTGAAAAGTGACGCTGATGGCCCAGCATTCTGGATACTTATTTTGCCTTTTGGCCAAAGCCTCAGCTTTCCGGCTGTTGAAGAGAACGGGCTGGTGTGCTGGTAGGAGGAGAGTGAAGCATCACTCCTAGGGACTTACATTTTTGCCTTCTGCCTGAAGGAAGGCCCAAATGAAGGTGAAACATCAAGCTGTAGCTCTTGTGTTGACGCCCTTTCTTTGGCCTTCTAATTGCCAAGGAGAGAGAATTGCTGGCTGCGCTTGAGAAGGGCCAGGATTCACTCTCAGACTGAGCCTTGGGAGCCTGTTCAGCAGATGTCAGTCAGCTCTACACACAGCCCAGATAGTCATTCACTGGAGTTTTCCCATTAGGCACATCAGGTAAGAGCTGATACTCAGAGGACTGGGGCCTATAAGTCCCTAAATACTGTAAAGAGTATATGTTTCATATACTGTTGTAAGTGAATGTAGCAGTCCTACTCCCACTAGGACCCTACCACATACTGACTTTTGATGACTTTTTAAGACATTCTTGGCCTTCACGGGCCACTTCTTTCACAAAGAGATATTAAAATTTCCATGTTATGCCAACCATGTAGGAGATCCAGATGAAGCTCCTGGCCCTGCTGACCATGTCGGAGACCCAGATGAAGCTCCTGGCCATCTGGGGAGTGAACCAGCAGAGGGAAGATCTCTTTCTCTGTTCTTCCCTCTCTCTCTAACTCTGACTTTCAAATAAATAAATAAATCTTAAAAGTTAAAAAAAATTTCCAAGTTACAATGGCCTTAATATAAATCCAAATATAATCCATCTAGATACATCATTGTGAACTCACTATTATCATATTCATCTCTCCTTCTGATATGACAAGAAAATCAAATTAAAACATTCCATGGGACCTTAAAAATATCATCAGTCCCCCACGGATAAGTCACATGGGACTTTTCTCTCTATTCCACTCCCTACTTGCAAATCCCACAATCATTTGGTGCAGAATGAGATGGGTTGTCTACCATGGTTTCCACAGTCCCTTGAAAAATTCGTCCATGTTCATAGACAGATTTATCCCCCTTTAGTCTGAATCTATGGCCAAGTAGAAAAGCACTCCTTTTCAATTATGTACTTTATCCTTGGCTGAACTGATGCTGTCTCTACTTAACTGCCATATACCACAAAACGATGATGGTTTTCTTTGGGTCACTTTATCAAGCATAAACTTACTAAAAATATTTTACATACACTTAACAATTTAGACAAAAATATTTAGCTAAGTTGGTACCATCAACCCCTCCCTCAATCAGTTTGCTGGCTTTGCCTATAGATGAGAAGAAATGTTGGATTTGCAACAGTACCTGTAATTGGTGCATCAGGGCGGGACTGCTCCTTTCTCCACGCGGGCACAAATACAGTAATATCTTTATGGCCTTTATCTAGAAACCAGTCCACAGCAAGTTGTATTCCTCGGCAGGAGAATTCTTCTTTATTTCCATGGCTTTAGGAAGGTAGAAAATAAGAGGAGAAAGGACTGACAATTGATAACCAAAAAGTGCTCCCCAAACAGGCTTTTTCTTAGTATTAAGAGGTTCACAACAAGCAATTTCCTTTTAAATGATGCCAAAGTATGCATTTTTTCAAAGATTTATTTATTTATTTATTTATTTGAAAGGCAGAGTTACAGAGAGGCAGAGGCAGAGAGAGACAAAGTTCTTCCATCCTGTTTTTCATTCCCTAGATGGCTGCAAAAGCCAGAGCTACACTGATCCGAAGCCAGGAGCCTGGAGCTTCTTCCAGGTCTCCCATGTGGGTGCAGGGGCCCAAGGACTTGGACCATCTTCTACTGCTTTCCCAGGCCAAAGCAGAAAGCTGGATCGGAAGAGGAGCAGCTGGGACTAGAACTAGCACCCATATGGGATGCTGGCACTGCAGGCGGCTACTTTATCAACTATGCCACCATGCAAGCCTCCAAAGTGTGCATTTTTTTAAAAGATTTTATTTTTTATTTATTTACTTGAGAGGTAGAGTTACAGACAGTGAGAGGAAGAGACAAAGGTCTTCTGTTGGTTCACTCCCCAAATGGCTGCAACGGCTGGAGCTACGCCGATCCTAATCCAGGAGCCAGGAGCTTCTTCCCTGCTCTCCCACGTAGGTGCAGGGGCCCAAGCACTTGGGCCATCTTTACTGCTTTCCCAGGCCATAGCAGAGAGCTGGATCGGAAGAGGAGCAGCCAGGACTCGAACTAGCGCCCATATGGGATGCCGGCACCGCAGATAGAGGATTAACCTACTGCGCCACGGCAAATGCCCCAAAGTATGTATTTTTTAAGAAGAGCATCTTAAAAAATGCTCACTAGGCTGTGGCATAGTGGGTAAAGCCACCGCCTGCAGGGCTGGCATCCCATATGGGTGCCGGTTTGAGTCCTGGCTGCTCCTCTTCTGATCCAGCTCTGTGCTGTGGCCTGGGAAAGCAGTAGAAGATGGCCCGAGTCCTTGGGCCCCTGGACCCATGTGGGAGACCTGGAAGAAGCTCCTGGCTCCTGGCTTGGACCAGCACAGCTCCTACCATTGCAGCCATCTGGGGAGTGAACCAGCAGATGGAAGACCTCTCTCTCTGTCTCTCTTTCTCTTTCTGCCTCTGCCTCTCTGTAACTCTGCCTTTCAAATAAATAAATCTTTAAAAGAAAGAGCATATCAAAACAACTTTTCAGTTTATTCATTTATTTGAAAGGAGAGGAGAGAGAGAGGATATTTTTCATTTGCTGGTTTACTCTCTAAGTATCTGGCTCAAGCCAGGAGCCAGAAACTCCATCTGGGTCTCCCACAGGGGCAGGTGGCAGGGACCCAAGCACTTGAGCCATCATCTGATGTCTCCTAGCGGCCCAGTAACAGGAAGCTGAATCTGAAGCAGAGGTGGGACTCAAACCAGGCACTTTGATATCAGATGTGGGAGTCCTAAGGGGCAGCTTAACTCTCTGTGCCACAATGCCTGGCCCTTAAATTCTCTTTCATCTAATTGTCACAAAAATTGTTATCATTATTACAGACTTCTCTCAAGGGCACAGATGGTTAACAACTCCCACCCAGTAGCACGCCCTGGTGGCTCTCTCCTATCACTAGTTCCATTTTCTCTGTTTGTACTACCACCTTCTTTTTTAAAGATTCATATATTCAAAACTGATGAAAAAAGATGAGTTGCTATTAGATTTTTAGATAGTTTATGTAGGGGATTATCTGGAGATGAGTCTCAAGTGCATGCATCAAGCTCTGAAAATAGCATTGACAGCAGAAAAGACACATAAAAACGCTGACTGAAAATGCTTATCATGTGTATACATTTAATTAAATATAATACACTAACAAAAATCATAGTATTGAAAATTTTAAGGTGTGGGAAATGCTCACAATATAGTTATCAAAGAGAAAAGAAAGGATATAGAAACGTGTGTATGGTATCTATATAAATATAGTAATCCTAATTTTGTAGAAGAAAGCATTGAAAAAATGTTAGAAATAAATAAATATATTAATAAAATTTGCTATTCTATGTGGCAGGGTTATCAGTCACCTTATTTTCTTCCTTTGATTTCAAAATTTCCTATAAAAACCTAGTGTTCCTTTTATCATCAAAACATGATGTAAAAAGAGGAAATTCTGTCACTATTACTTATACAAGGAACAAACACCTGGAAAGTTAAAAAGTCAAACAGAATTCATGTTGTGAAGATTCATTTATTTATTTGAAAGGCAGAGTGACAGAGAAAGAGAGAGAGACACAGAGAGACTCTCTGTCACTCTGCCTTTCAAATAAATAAACATATTTTAAAAAAGTCCCCAGTATACCATAAAGCAATTATACTACTCTATAGAAAATATCAGGAAAAGTATATTTCACTGCCAATACATTCCAGGATAGCATTAAAGATAGCTACCATTGATTGCTTCTAAGAAAAAAAAATTGAGCCATGAAGCAATTGGGCAAGCCCACAGTATTCAAAGGGCTACTACTGGATGAAGCCAGCATGAAATAGTCGGGTAGGGAAGACATCCAGTTGTGATTTTTCCCACTACTACAGTGCTGATAAATATAAAGAATAATGGAACTTGGGAAAGTCATCAGAACTGCCATTAGAAGGGGGATTTCATTTGGCTTCACAATGCTGTAAAGTGTCATCTTCTCTCAAACAGTTTAAGTCTAGAAAGAAATACAAGAGTTAGATTTGCTGACAGATACTCCAACTTTGTACTGTATACTATCAAATTCTTTGTTTAAAATATTTTCATAATAACAAATGTATATGGTTATTGAATATATTCATATTGTATAAAATGTAGAAAACAAAAACAACAAAGAAAAACTCCTCAAGATCCAACTCTTTCACTACTACCCACAGACAGTTTGTATTTTGATGCATTTGTATTTTGATATCAGTTTCTAAATGCACTGATAATTGTTTTAAAAAAACAACAGGGCCGGTGTCACGGCTCACTAGGCTAATCCTCTGCCTTGCGGCGCCGGCACACCGGGTTCTAGTCCCAGTCGGGGTGCCGGATTCTGTCCTGGTTGCCCCTCTTCCAGGCCAGCTCTCTGCTGTGGCCAGGGAGTGCAGTGGAGGATGGCCCAAGTGCTTGGGCCCTGCACCCCATGGGAGACCAGGATAAGTACCTGGCTCCTGCCATTGGATCAGTGCGGTGCGCCGGCCGCAGTGCGCCGGCCGCAGCAGCCATTGGAGGGTGAACCAACGGCAAAGGAAGACCTTTTTCTCTGTCTCTCTCTCTCACTGTCCACTCTGCCTGTCAAAACAAACAAACAAACAAAAAACCCATAGCATTCTAATAAAACCATATTAAAATTTTGTCTTTAGAGCAGTCCAGGAAGCACAGCATGAACTATCCAGTAAGAATTATAAGACTTTTTAATGTATTTATCAAGGTGGCAATAAAGACCTATACAAAGACCCAGTATGCTAAGTTTAGTGCCCAATAAATATTTAAATAATGAATACATTTTTAAGAACAAATAAAGTAATGTTTGCAAAATGACCTGTTTTTGCCAAATACATAAAATGTGCTTTTACAATCTTGAAAAGGTTAACAATCCTAGGACCTGCAGGTCACAGAGTATCTCAGTGATACTATAGCTCACTGTGTCCTGTAAACTGGATTAAAAACATGTCATGATCCAGGTTCCCAAGCTGAATTCCGAATAGCAAATGAGTCACTGGCTTCTCCCTCTGCAATTGTGTTTTTTTTTTTTTAAAGTAGGATTCAAACGTTTGGGCTTCTCCCAGACATAACATAGAATATAGTGGCATTTACATTTCAAAGCCTGTGTTCCTCTGTAATGGAGTTTTTCCCTCCCAAGGGAGACAGATCACAGAATGAATGTATCCTTTAGCATGTATCATAGAATAGTCACAATATGTGAATCATAGGTATCCCACTACTGCAAATGTTAATGCCTTCAATGGCAAACAGAGTATCATAATTTAAACACAGGCTCATCCAATAGGCTGATGAATAGCAGATGTTAAAATGTAGTTTAAGAAATGTTAATTGCATGATAAAGTGATAACTAACTAATGGGGAAAACAAACTGAGTTTACATTAACAGCAGTAACAAGTTCGTATGCAGACTATAACACTGCACTTTGGACATGTAAAATGTGATTACAGAATAAATGGGACTCATAAGGAACTTACTTAGATAAGAACAAGACGCTAATAGAGACACACACAACGATTTTTAAAACAGCATGTGGTCCCTATGCACCATTTTAATAGGCTCTAAAGATAAGATTGAGTGTTGAGTTTTTTGCTTATTTTTGTAAAGATTTACTTTAGTATTTTAATTTTATGTAAATCATGTAAGGTACCTTTAATTTAGCAAATCTCCTGTCATTCAGGAGACAAAATTTCATCTTCCTATCAGTAAGACTGCTGCTGACACAGACTAGATATGTTGAAACTAATTACCTAGTAATTAAGCTCCTCGCTGTTTTTTTAAAAGTAAAAGAACTATAAAGTATCCTTCAAAATTAGCCATCCTTGAACAGAAATCCAAGGAAAAGGAAGATCTTTTTTAAAAATAATTATTTGAAAGGCAGAGTTACAGAGGAGCGACAGAGAAAAAGGAAAGAGAGAGAGAGAGAGAATATCAATTAATCTACTGGTTCACTCCACAAATGACCACAATGGCCAGGTCTCAGCCAGGCCAAAGCCAGGAGACATCTGGGTCTCCCACATGGGTAGCAGGGTCTCAAGCACTTGGGCCATCTTCTGCTACCTTCCCAGGTGCATTAGCAGGGAGCTGGAATGGAGGCGAGGCAGCTGGGACTTGAATTGGCACTCACATGGGATGCTGGCATTTCAGGTGGCAGCTTAACCTGCTGTTCCACAACACTGGCCTCAAGGAAGATCTGGTATCACCATCAAGTCAAAGTTCCCAAGGAAGTCTGGCTCCTCTCATCCTTGACTCCGAAACACAAAATCCTTAAAGAAAGGTAGGCTTTGGAAACATGTCTGATCTAGGATGTTCTGGGTGGTCTAGTTTGAGGAGAGACTGAGTTGGTCAGATCAAGTATCCCTTCCCCTCAAGAATCACTTTAGTGGGGACAGACATTTGCGGCACAGCAGGTTAAGCTACTGACCACGACACCAGCATTCCATGAGTGCCGGTTTGAGTCCTAGCTACTCCACTTCCAATCCAGCTCCGTGCTAAGACGGTTGGAATGCTTGGGACCCTGCCACCCACATGGGAGACTCAGATGGGGTTCCGGATTCTCCATGCTTTAGCTTGGCCTAATCCTGGCTTCTGTGGCCATTTGGGGAGTGAACCAGCAGATGGAAGATCTCTCTTTCTGTCTCTCCCCGTTTCTTCCTCTCTCTCTGTCATTCTGCCTTTCAAATAAATAAATAAATAAAAAGCATCACTCTAGGTTATGCTTAAAGCAGAGATACTTTTGACCCTTTGAACAGGGAAATCATTCGCTCTCTACTTTTTTTAAAGATTTATTTTGAGAGAGAGAGAGAGAGAGAGAGAGAGATCTTCCATCTTCTGCTTCACTCCACAAATGGCCACAACAGTTGAGGCTGGGTCAGGTTGAAGCCAAGAGCAGGGACCCAAGCACTTGGGTCATCTTCCACTGCTTCCTCCAGGTGTTTTAGCTGGGAACTGGATTGGAAGTGGAGCAACCAGGATGCTGGCAGCGCAGGTTACAAGGTGCAGCTTAACCCGCTGTGCCACAACATTAACCTCTATTTTCTGCTTTACTGGTCCATTGAATCATTCTGATTCTGTAGTATTGTGTGCAGTTCATTTGATTTGCTTGTTACAATGCCTCTGGTTTTCCCTCACTAAAAAAGGGAAGCTGTGTAGCCTGACTGACACACTTTATGGTGATGCTGTCATGATTTAAAATATTGGAAAAAGGAAATCTGTATATGTATTCTTTGTTACTAGCAATGATACTAAACATGTTTAATAACATTAATAGTCCCATAATATTGTATGATAGTGTCAGAAGAGTTTTGGAGTCAGATTCAAGCTTTAATCCAAGCTTTGCCATTTATTAACTATGTGACCCTAGGTAGTTACTTATCTCTCTGAACCTGAGTCTCTTCACATGAAAAAAAAAAAATGAACCTGATCATTCCATTCTAGTAGCATTGTTTCCTTTTAAGTTATTTTTTGTCATTTTTATTTGAAACACAGAGAGACAGAAACAGATACAGAGAGATCTTTTCATCCACTGGAATTGGAAGTAGAGCCAGGACTTGAACACAGGCACTCTGATATGGGATGTGGGTGCCCCAAGTGGCCTCTTAATCATTGCACCAAATGCCCACCCTGAGATGGTGCATCTTTTTTAAAATAATTTAATTTTAAGTTTTAATTAGTTTTTATCAGATTCAACGTGGTTTGTAGATATAATTCAGAGGACATAATGATATTCCCTTTCTCGCTCCTTCCCTCTCTGCCTCCCTCCCTTCTTTCTCCCCCCCTTTTTTTTTTAGTTGAGATGATGCATCTTGAAGACTATGAACATAAAGAGGAGGGAAATAACATGAACACAGGGGAGGGGGAGTAGAAATTAGCATAATTTACATGGAAACCATTAAATAGCCTGATGCAAATTGCAAATACAACAGGTGTTAGAAATGAGATCAAAGGGGGAGAAGGAAAGGCCAGGTCACAAAGAGCTTTAAAGCCAGATGAAGGGATCCGAACTTGGTAGGATAACAATCAGAAGTTACTGAGAGTTCCTCAGTAAGTCTCCGAGTGATTATGAGGGCAGCACTTTCAGGATCGGGATAGCAGATCCCAAGAGGAACAAAGCTGAATAGTTATGTCTCCCCTGAAGGATCACAAATGCCTAAATTGCCTGCATGACCCCTTTTGAAATCATGGCAGTGATTTCAAAAGAGAGAGGAAAGGCAAGGGCAGGATCATATCAGCCTCTGTCTACCCACCTCCAAGAACACAGGCCACAGGCAACGACCCATGGTCACCTGTAGTGCTTTGAAAATACATACATACATACATACATGCATACGTGCATACATACAAGTTCTATGAGCTCAGGCCAGTTTCACAAAAGAGAAAAATATAGCAGGCTTACCTCATTGCCACATTGCTTCCATCAATGACAATTGGCCTCAAATTATCACTGCTGTCTATTTCATCTTCAAGAGATAATTCAGGGCTTGCAATTTCTCTGGAGCTGGGCCCACGAGGCACTAACAGAGTCAGGTTGACCTGCCCTTCTGAATCACCTTTGTTGCCAAGTCTGACAAGCTCTGCCAATACATCATTAATAAGTGATTCTGGGCCCAGCTTGTGCAACACTGATTGAATCTGTTCCTCTGCATAGCCCAGCTTTAGAGCAAAATCCATCTTGGCTTGGTAGTCTTTCTCCAAGTCGAGCTTGCCATCCTGTAAAATGCTACTCTGGGAGAAGCTTGGGCGATCCAGGCAGGGTGATCGGCAGAGTTGGCGGTGTGGCTTGGAGGGCATCTCCTTTCTCTTCAATTGCCCATCTCTGGGTTGGCAGCTGTTGTTGTTGCTGCCCTTAAGGCTCATCTGTTCGAGGTCACTCTCAGAGCTCACCCACTCTTCAGAATCTGCATTGCCCTGCTCTGTGCTGTCCTGTTTAGGCTGCTGCTTCTCTTCCTTGGAGGCGCTCTTCTCCATTTTTGGTGTCTCCACTGCAGCTGTGGCCGTCATCCCGTTCAGTGGGCAGTCTGAGGTCTAATCAGTTCTTTTTCTTTTTAGCCTGCTTGGGATCCACATGGAGTGGCATTCTTCTGTGGTAAAATGTTTTGATAGCAGTGGTGCAGGAGTTTGTCTGTTTGGTTTGTTCTTTTCAGATGTCACCAGTCCCTACAAGTAAACACACATACCACAACCATGTTTAGGCAAGTTCTGGAAAAGCATTTTAGAATATAGAGGTTTCTCTCTAAAAGTCTTTTTGATTTTCCTTCTCACCATGATTGACTCATTTTACATTCAAAATATAGAAAGTCTAATTCTAATAATTTTAGACAAATAAATTTCAGTAGTGGTACCCCCCCCCCCCCCAAAAAAAAACACCTCAGCTAAAGTTGTCTGCTTATGGGACTGGTGCTGTGACATAGTAGGTTAAACCTCTGCCTGTGGCACCAGCATCCCATATGGGCACTAGTTCTCTGCTTATGGCCTGGGAAAGCAGAGGAAGATGGCCCCAGTGTTTGTGCCCCTGTACCCACCTGGGAGACCCGGGGAAAGCTCCTGGCTCCTGGCTTCAGATAGGCCTAGCTCCAGCCATTGCAACCATTTGGGGAGTGAAACAGCAGATGGAAGACCTTTCTCTCTGTCTTTCTCTCTGTAACTCTACCTCTCAAATAAATAAATAAATAAATAAAATGTTAAAAAAGGAATAAAGTTATCTGCTTATGACCACAGCTTCAAAAGAGAACCTGCATTTCAAAAGGGTGCAGGAATACGTGTGTGTGTGTCTATTCTGGAAAGGACTCTTTTTCTTTCATTCTGCTAGGGAAGTGTTTCCACATCATGTACCAGATCCTTCTTACTGAGGCTTAAATCCACTACGACTCTCCAGCACTACTTTTTTAAAGATATCAGGAGGGGCTGGCACTATGGCACCGTGGGTTAAAGCCCTGGCCTGCAGCACAGGCATCCTATATGGACACCGGTGTGAGTCCTGGATGCTCCACTTCTGATCCAGCTCTCTGCTATGGCCTGGGAAAGCAGTAGAAGATGGCCCAAGTCCTTGGGCCCCTGCACCTGTGTGGGAGACCCGGAAAAAATTCCTGGCTCCTGGCTTCAGATCAGTGCTGCTCTGGCTACTGTGGTCATTTGGGGGAGTGAACCAGTGGATGGAAGACCTCTCTCTCTCGCTCTCTCTCTCTCTGTAACTCTATATTTCAAATAAATAAAATAAATCTTAAGAAAAGTCAGGATCTTCATTTACTAGGGAGACTAGAAAACAGAAAACCATAAAAACTGCTTTGAGACAAGTGAAGTAGGCTGTAAGGGTAAGTGAGAGGTGTGTCCCAGATATGGAAGGGGGTGTCTGCACACTCCTAAGTGTATCTGAAATGTCTGATTTATTTTAATGAGTAAACAAAAGAAGAAAATAATAGAAATGCATCATAGAAAATACATAAAAAATCAGGCTGTGTTAAAGAGAATACTAATCATCGGAGAGAATTTGGGACAATTTACTTCCTTTCTCTCTTTCTTTCTTTGCAGTGTTATTTTTTCCCAGAAACCTTTTATTTTAAAGAATACAAACTTCATGCATTTCATAAATCTTTTTTCTTTCTTTCTTTTTTTTTGACAGGCAGAGTGGACAGTGAGAGAGAGAGAGAGAAAGGTCTTCCTTTGCCATTGGTTCACCCTCCAATGGCTGCCGCGGCCGGCGCACCACGCTGATCCGATGGCAGGAGCCAGGTACTTATCCTGGTCTCCCATGGGGTGCAGGGCCCAAGTACTTGGGCCATCCTCCTCTGCACTCCCTGGCCACAGCAGAGAGCTGGCCTGGAAGAGGGGCAACCAGGACAGAATCCGGCACCCCGACCGGGACTAGAACCCGGTGTGCCGGCGCCTCAAGGCAGAGGATTAGCATAGTGAGCCGCGGCGCTGGTAATCTTTTTCTTTTTCAAAAAACAGTTATTTATTTATTATTTGAAAGAGTTACATGGAGGTTGGGAATATAGATCTTCCATCCATTGGTTCACTCCCCAAATGGCCATAATAGCCAGAACCAAAGACAGGAGCCAGGGGTTCCATCAGTGTCTGCCACATAGGTTGCCAGAGGCCAAAGCACTTGGGGAACCTTCTGTTGCTTTCCCAGGGCATTAGCAGGGAGCTGGATCAGAAGTGGTACAGCTGGGACTTGAACCTGTGCCCACATGAAATGATGGTGCTGCAGGCAGCAGCTTAATCCCACTGTACCACAGAGCTGGAAACATGAACACTTTCATCATGTTTATGTAGCCCTACAATAGCAAATATAATATCATGGAAAGCCACACAAATATAGGAAACTGTCATTGTAATTATTCCTGAGTTTTGTGAAAATTTCCTACTCAGTAGCCTAAAGTGAAAGAAAGACAAATGAATAACTTAACAGAAATAAACTTAGATTTACATTTCAAAGCTCTAAGCAGGCAGTTTTTTAAAAAAGATTTATTTGACGGGTTAGCATTGTCACATAACAGGTTAAGGCTGCTGTCTGCAATGCTGGCATCCCACATAGCTGCAGTAGTTCAAGTCCTAGCTGCTGATTCCTATCCAGTTCCCTGCTAACGTGCCTGGGAAATAGCAGCAGATAGCCTAGGTGGACCCCTGCCACCCATGTGGAAGACCAAGATGGCCATTTGGGGAGTGAATCAGTGGATGGATGATTCTCATTTCTCTCTCTCTCTCTCTCTCCCCCTCCCATCTCTCTCTCTCTCGCTTTCTCTTTCTGCCTACATAGAGAGATAGGGAAAGAGATTTCCATCTGCTGGTTTACCCTCCAAATGGCCACAACAGCCAGGGCTGTGCCAGACCAAATTCAGGAGTCAAGAACTCCACCTGTGTCCTCCAGAGGAGGGCAAGAGGCAGGGGCCCAAGCACTTGGGCCATCATCTGCTGCCTTCCAGGTGCATTAGCAGGGAGCTGGATGGGAAGTGAAGATGCTGGGATTCAAATTGGTGCTCTTGGCTGGCGCCGTGGCTCACTTGGCTAATCCTCCTCCTGCGGCTCCGGCACCCCGAGTTCGGGGCGCCGGATTCTGTCCCAGTTGCTCCTCTTCCAGTCCAGGTCTCTGCTGTGGCCCAGGGAAGGCAGTGGAGGATGGCCCAGCTGCTTGGGCCCTGCACCTGAATGGGAGACCAGGAGGAAGCACCCGGCTCCTGGCTTTGGATTGGCGCAGCGCAGCCATTTGGGGGGTGAACCAATGGAAAAAGGAAGACCTTTCTCTCTGTCTCTCTCTCTCTCTCTCTCTCTCTCTCTCTCTCTCTCTCTCTCACTGTCTAACTCTGCCTGTCAAAAATAAGGAAAAAAAGAAAAAAAAACAAAATTGGTGCTCTTATGGGATGCTGGTATTGCAGGTGGTGGCTTAACCCACCATACCACAACATCAGACTCAAGCAGGGAAATTTTAAGATGTTGGTTGTATGTTCTGAAGCCTGTGCAAGTTTGTAGGTATCTTGTTTTTTGTGTGTGTTGGTTTTGTTTTATTTTAGAATGCAAATTTCTTGAGCCAAGATAGCAGGGATGTCTTTTCACTCAAAAGAATGGTGAATGAATGCCAGACATGATGCTAAGCCTCAGTGCAAGGAAGAAAACACAGGACCAAGCCTTTCCTCAAAGAATCCACAAACGAGTAAAAAAGTGGACTATAAGTGGCTCTAGGAAGTTCTGGAACACAATTCTTTAGAGGGTAAGCATTGCAACTAGATTTCAAGCTATAATACTTTTGAACATCAAAGGAATGTTTACTGGTAATTATGCCAAAATTACAGTATCAACTGGGGATATCCCAGGGAAACCTGGCTGTATGGGTGGTCAATCAAGTTACATGCAAATTTCCACTAACATGCAGCAGAGGAAATGTTCAATCCTGTCAATGGGGTGGGAGATATGGGTGGTGGGTAAAGAGGTAAGGAAAGGATTCAAGAAGGATTTGAAATCACTTCCTGACTCATTCATTCATTCAAAAAAAAAACATTTATTTAGTGTCAACTATGTGCCCGGCAATATGGAGATATAAAAACAGAAAGGATTCTGATATTAAGGAGCTTTAAATTATAGTGGCAGGAAATGGACAGTGACAATAATCAAATAACTATGTGATTCATAATCATAAGCCATGGCTAACTGATTAAGCGTTTACAGGTAGAGGCAGTTACCAATTGAGCCTTAGGGGAAAGAATGACTATTTGCTGGGCATGAAAGAGTTTTAAAAATTATAAATATATGAAGATTAATATGATATAGTGCCTTAGTCAACACCTCATACCTACTACTACTTGTGGGGAGTGATAAATGAAAGCATTGAGGATGCCTAAAGGAAAGTAGTCACTTTTGCCCAAAAAGGAAGGTGAGTGGGGAGAAATTTTTCAAAGATGATGTTCTAGCTACTAAGTATGACAAGTGTTGAAAAGAGGTTTTATCTTTCATTGCTATTGAATTGAAAAACAATCACCAGTGGATGCATTAAAGACTGGCATACTTTGGAAAATTACCTTAGTTAGATGAAATTATGATGCAATTTGTTTTATGAAACTAAGAGCTTTGTCACTATATAGCCACAAGTCATAGGTCCAGAGCTTGCCTGTAACCTGCTTAAGAATATGATTAAGCACATGATTGCAAATTTGTATTTAAATTTCAAAGAGCAAAGAAGCATGCAGGCAAAATCTGCCAAAAGCAACCTCAGGGTATTTCCACCAAGAAGGAAAGACCAAAGTCTTCTATTTTTTTCTCTCCCACGAATCCTTTTAGTATGAAACACAGTTCACTCATTTTGCATTTACACATAGCAATTTTCCAAGATCAGTCTTTAGGTTCTATTATAAACTCCACTTTGTCTCTTCCAAAATCTACCAAGTGACAATCCTATATGGAGAAAGAAACATCTGGGCATGTCTACTAAACCAAAACCACTGGAAATGTTAAAAAATAAAAAGCTCAATAGTCATTTTGGAAAAAGATACCCAGCAGTAGCCAAGCCAAGAGCAGAATTCTCAATTATCTGTGGATGGCTAACCCACTTGATTCCTGTGTTCTGAGAATGCATATATTTTTTAAAGATTTATTTATTTATTTGAAAGTAGAGTTAAAGAGAGGCAGCGTGAGAGAGAGACAGAGGGAGAGGTCTTCCATCATCC